TGATGCGCATCTGATGCGGCTGACGCGCAAGTTACCTCACCGACTCGCTCGAACACGAAGCTGCAGCAGAGCATCCGGGCGGACGGAAATGGAGGCCGACATGACGAGTTGGCGAACAAAGGCCGGGAAGCAGATGCGTCTCTAGCAGGCTGGAGCCCAAAAAAGGCCGAATCGCTGAGTGTACCGAACCAAGCTCAGGATTTACCTTCAGAAGCACAGCCTGCTTGCTCAAAAGGCACGGCTTGCCCGAAGCAGACTGCTCAGGTGCTGGCTTCTGCTGGACATCCAACCACTTCAGCTGCCCAGGCTCGACGGAGCCACATAGTCCATCACCTGATCCACGCAAAAAACAACATCGTGACCCCCAAACAACGCTGCTTCCCTGGCCTAAAATAGCCATGGAACATGCGCAGAAATTGGACCATATTGGACCTATTCCAAAAGAAATGAGGCTCCAGAAAATTAAATCACTAATCGGATTCCTAGTAGAGAACACACCTGGAATCCGCTCAAACTCTTTAAATCACAGCCAGGGTCGAAAACAAACACTCGCGCACATTGCAAAAAAAAACACCTGGGAGCGTGAAATTCTTTGCAAAGATCACGTGGCTCTTCCAAAACAGACTTCCTGTGCAGCCTGACAGGACGTATCCTACGCATTGTTTAGGAAAGGGTGGCGTCCCAAGGAACAGAGCAATGGGCGCTGTGGCACATCAGCACGGTTAGCTAGGAGGCTGCAGCTTGCTTTGCCTCCGAACCTAGTCCGGTCTCGTCATAGCAACAAGTAAGCGGTGCAAGAAATTCAGATGACCAGCCGCCTAAAGCTGCCCTTCAACTACTCTGACACAAGATACAAAGCCAGCTGCACAAGCAGCCGGGCACCAACTGCACACCTCGAAGAGGCAGCTGTAAAAAATTGAATTTGTTTTTTTCAAATTATTTTTGTTCTGCCTTGCTGACTTTTTTTGCCACCGGGTTACATGGTAGCTCACAGGCAATCCGACGCCTGTCTGAATTATGATCTAGGTGCGATGTCTGTCGGGGCTTCTACGTTTCCTTCTTTGTTTTCTTGCTTTCGTTGTGTTCTTCTTCTTCTTTGTGCAACGCGCGTCCTGGCGAGCCAGGGTCTCGCTGGGGCTAGGCCCCAAGCGCGAGGCCTCTGTGCAGTGCTTTCGTGATCTTTCCTTCTCTTGCCTTCTTTCTGCATCCGTTTCGGTCTTTTCTCTTTTATTGTTCTTACTTCCTTCTTTCCTTCTCGATTTTCTTTGCTGTTGTTGTCGTTCCTTGTTGAAGACCTTTACACACGAGAGCTCGAAATTCAGGATGTCCAGAGCCTGCACGCAAGACATGTAAATCGTAACGCACAGGGCACGGCTTGAATTCACAGTCAATCAGTCAGTCAGTCAGTCAGTCAGTCAGTCAGTCACAACGAAATCCATGTTCATGCTGTGATAGCCTGGCTGCCCAAAGATCGATGTGTCCGCGGTCTGGAGGTTGGCCCACCTACTGCTCCACACGCCTCCAAGGACAGTGTTACTTTGATGCAGGCAAGCAACATGAAAGACAGCATCTCGTGAGCGCGCAATTAGCTTGGTGCTCTGACTAGCGGCCTGAAGCCTTGAAATAAAGCCCACAGCCAGGTACGGAGGGTACTTCTGATTAGGTGCATGGCGGACGTTCGGAGAAAGCCTGCAATAGAAACCATTCAAGTATAGAGTGGTCGTTCAGCCTTGCCAGATCTTGCAAGCAGTCGGTTCTGGAAGTCTAGCGCTTGGCTCAGGTGCCGCATCAGAACTACACCAGATATCATCGCATACAAGATTTTTTGCATCCGGGCTCGCTATGACAGCCAGAAAGGGGGAGCCCCCCATCAATCAGAGCTCCTGTCTAGCAGCGCAAGCCTGAACAGGAAGTGCCGCTGCAGCGCGGTGCTTGGCAGTGCTACCCGCAGCGGCCTCTTTTTGCCTTGAGGGATAGGATCAGATGCCTACCCTGAAGCACCCAACTCGCTGATGCTTCAAGACAACAACGACATGTTCAAAATGCTGGCCTTCAGCGCTTGGCTCAAATATCCAGCCATCGCATGGCGAGTCTACAGGAAAGGGCAGGGAAAGACATGTAGATATCGTCTTCTGCATAGGATCACATCTGAACCAGGCTCCACAGATTGGAGCTCACTAGCAAGGGATGATCGCCGGCAAAGTACGCACCTCAAATTCCTTCTGCTGACCTGATGTCTGGCCCCGATAACATCCACTGTCAACATGAGCACTTTCGCATGCTGGTGGCATCAGGAACCTTTTCACCTCTTTCTCCTCTTCTTGCGCCCCTGGTCCGACTCAGGACAGCGGCTCGGTGACGAACTGTATGAATCCTGAACAGCAATTTCCCCTTACTCTTGTCGAGTTTGCATGAGTGCCCTCTTCTTATTCTTTCCAACGGCACTCGCACCTCGGAGGACTCGTAAGACCTCAAAGACTTGCGGTGGGGGGGTGTAAGCCGCATCCAGCAGATAACCAAAAGCAAAAAACAATTCAATATCTACGCGTCGCACACACGCACACGCGCAGACTGAGCGTGATGATTTACGCATTGTAGATGCCTGTGCAGCAGGTGCTTAATACTGGCTGGTACCTCCTTGTTTAGTCACATGATCTATCAGATGGCTAGGATATAGACCGCGAACACCAAGACAGTCATTGCAGGCTGCCTCTTTTCTGGGGGTTTGCTTCTGCAAAGGCTGTCCCCTGTGGTACAAGTAGCTTCCGGAAGCTGAGGCAAGGCACTCGTAGGTAGAGTACTCCACCTTAACAGATAGTCTCTGCATGTGTCTGTCGTGTGAACTGGTGGTGCCTGGAATTAGCTCCAACATGCCCACCATGTCACGATGTGTCAACACAGGCCGGCTGCGTTCTGAGACTTGGATCTGCAATGGCGGCCGCCAGGCCAGGCTGTGAACATTTCCATCCAGCCAAGGCGCTGATGATGTGCATGCCCGCTTGCCTGGAACACCGCCCATCTCTAGGTTGGCTGGGGCATTTGTTCACGCATATCTGTAGCTTGGGTTATGCAACTGCATCCAACGGCTGTGTAGCTACAAAGCCAGGCGACGTTTGTGGCGCGAAGCTAGCCAATCAAACTGCCAGTCGAAGTCCAACTGCAATGGTGTCAAGACGAGGCGGACATCCCAAGCACAAGTCTGCAAGACTCTCTTGCAAGCTCTTCAAGCTGTGACGGCGCCTGGTGCCGAGAAGCTGCCTTGCGGAACAAGCTGCGGAGGTGCTCGTAGTCAGGCCTATCCTTGAAGCCTACAGGGAGCACTGGCCCTCCATGACGACTGCTTAGCTGTCAGACAACCAGACACATAATTCACATACCCCTTGCCAGCACGAAGTACATAGTGACAAAACGATGCACCAACTATTCTGCATATTTCTGCGGCAGCAGCCCAATGAGAGAAGCCATTCTTACAAATTAGCACGAAGAACACTTGCAATCAACTGCAGGATGCCAGCGAGCAATTGCAGCCAGCGGCCTAATGAGTCACAGTACTCGAAGTACTGTACGAATTCTTTTGGAAAGCCTCCCATCAGCACTGAAGAACGCTCAGTTGCTAGGCTTGTTCACTGTGTTTTGTCAGATTGCGGCATGCCGAAAACCACAATCGGCAGAATGGTGCAGCTGCGCCCAGAGCCTTCGCACAGGTCCTGGTGTGATGTTGCCGCCTTGCGTTTTCCGATGCGCTTTTTGCGCTTCTTCCTTCGTCCACATTTCATGTGCTCCGGAAAGCGAAGATAATGCCAGCTGCTGCCGAATGACTTGTCTCGATGGTTTATTCCTGCACAGGAATTTTCGCCGTTTTTTCCAAGTGTTTGTCGCATGGCTACGGTAACCGTTTATCAACGCAGAGATCAGGATGTGTCTGACAATTTGGCTGCTGCCTCTTTACGCAAGCCCGCGTGTCCTTGCCAGGGAAGTTGTCCCCGCAGGAAATACAACAGCACGTAGCCAATGGACCCCAAATCATCCCTGCGCACGGCAATTGTCAGGTCGTCTTTCATGCCGGCATGTTACCATGAACTGCTCCTGTGCGTGAAAAAGAATCCCTCGAAACCCTAAACTCGAGAATTCAGCGGACCAAATACTTCAATCTAAGCATTGTTGGTTGGGATATTCGATGAGATCTGATGTCTGGACTAACCAGACTAACCGTCTGCTGCTTGGCTGCCGTCTGCTCGGCTCGCAGCCTTAAATCGAGGAGCAACTTCAACACCAGATGGAACGGACTCTTGGATGCATCGACATGCATAAACAGAGCATGCGGGAACTGGTTCAAACAAAACGACTTCGCCAAGCAGCCCTCATGCAGATTGATTGTTGTGTACCGCGCCGTTCCGGTCATGCCGCTCTTCTTGACAAAGGCTATGTGCTTGCCAGTTTCCGGATCCCGATAGCCTCACTATGTCATTGGTGGGTCTGCCAGAAACAAGAAGGCTCACAGCACCAAGAGCCCGTAAACCCTAAGCGGGTGCATTCTGTGAGACACAGCTATCATCGAATTTGATGAAGGTCACGGAGGACCCAAAGCGGCCAATGTCGTAAAAGAGGGATGATGCCAAAACCGTTAATCAGCACTGCCCCGTAATCTCTGGAAATCTAAAATGACTATTCTGTGAAAGATATACGATTAATCTGTCATTCCAATCTATAAGAAATATGTGACGTCTTGAGTGTGAAAAGTCTGCGAACAATCGGTGCATAATCTGTGGATATCTGCGTCTGGGAAAAATCTGCGACTCTGTGAAATATGAAAAACAAAAGTAACTTTGCGAAAAATCTGCGAAAAATCAATGAAAAATCTGCCAAATTGTGAAAAATCTGAGAAAAATCTACGAAAAATATCTGACAGATCTGTGAAACTGTGAAAAATCTGTGGGAATTTGTGAATCGAAAAAATGAGAAACAAAAAAATTGAATCTGCCGAAAATCTGTGAATCTGGAAAAATCTACCCAAAAAGATGGTTAGAAAACTATGAATCTGAGCCTAGGGCCTGGCCTCGAGCCCGGGGCCTTGAAAGGGCCGTTAAATCACAGAAGCACCAAAAACACCGAGAAAAATCATAAATAAATCACAGAGTTCAAAACCAGCAAATCCACATTTACAAAAAAAAATCACACTTGCCAATCACACTCAAATCACGATTAAATCACAGAAAAAATCCTGGACCTTCTGCCAGACAAAACAAGCAATCCTGGTTATACTATTCTATTAGCATAGCCCCTGCGCAGGATGACACGCACAAAGCAGGTGGCGTGCCAAGTGTCTGGGGACTTTTCACAAAAGCTCTGGCATCGCAGCGCAGTTAGAGGATGCATCGTCTTGTTGGAGGATTCACACGTCACTGAGCATGTGTTAACGCAAGTAGCAGGGACCAAATATCTGTCTAAACGCCTATAGCACCCAAACTTTTTGGGAAGCACGTTTTGCAACGTCAACATGCCTAAAGGCTTGTTGCAACTTTTTGCAACTTGCAACAGGGCATGCACACGTGCTCTTCTTCCGAGGCGAGGCCAAAGAAAAACCGACGCTGGGTTTGGAGCACGGGATTCACAGACAGCGCTTGCCTGTGCGGTGCTCAAGCACCAGCCCGAAAACTGAACTTTTCAAGTTGAAGCTGGCAGCGTTTTGCCAATCCGAAGTCGACGATGTAAACCTCCAGGGCTGTTTCAGCAAACGGAACACCACTAAAAGCAGATAGAAGCTTGACGGCGCAAGCAACCCGACGGCCTTGTCAGATCGCTTGTCCCCAACAACGAAATTGCTTGGCTTGATGTCCTCAGCTGCGCAGATTGCATTGTAGAATGGATCGGCAAAGGCTTGGGCAGGTTCCGGAAATCTCCTTGCTTGATGTGCCTTGGGCAGGAGGCACCATCACCGTGCAGCCCAGTATCTCGATGTATGATTTTGAAAGAGTGGACAAACTCCTTAGCTCCCCCCTCAACTGGTTCTGACCACCACGGAGTTCAGCTGCATGAGATTGCATAGGCTTGGCTGTGCTTGGACTTGCCAGACCAAGGATCTATGCAGTTAATCATCTGCTCACCAAGCATGAGCACCGTCTTCAAGCTAAACTTCCTCATTCTCTCTGTGGCACATGGCAGTTCATCCCACTTGGTCAGCCACCCTGGTCTTGGAATCCCGGTCCTTCTGCATGTTTTCATGAACAAATCCTCCAACGATGGGCCCAGCAAGCCCATGGCCTCAGTATCTCAATAATCAGCGCCACGCGGACTGCCTGTTGTCGTCCCTTATAGGCTAGGCTGGGAGCTTCTAGGTCTCGTGCCATGATGTTATACTCATCCTGGCTTCCGCACCAATGCACCGTGGTGGTGGGCGGATTCTCCAAACCTGTCAGCTTTGGAAGACCCCTTCTGCTGCCAGATGCCCACTTGTTGTCTGAGGGCCATGCCAAAGACCTGACAAAGCTCAGCCTGCCAAATCTGCTAACAACAACTCGATTTGCATCCGCAACCGGGAAACTCAAGCGGAGCCGTGCGGGGAAAAGTCTGGCAAGTTGCCCTCCGCAGACACGACAGGCGACGTTCCGTGTCTAGACAACTTATTGACCATGATGGACTATATAGCATGCACAACCCTCTCTAACCCTGCATTGTATTAGTGTCCTCTGCAAACTCCTTCCCAAGATGAAGACCTTTCGATCCCTGCCGCAAGCCTCTTTGAGGAGCCTTGCAAGGCTCAAGAGAAGCAAATCAAGTGATGCAGGGAAAGAGAGCATCAGTATCTCCAATTGCTTGCAGGGTGAGCAATAGGAACTGTCGCAGCCAAATCACTTGTCCGTCTTCTCTGCTTTTGTCCATTCGAACCTCCAGGCATGCATCCAAAACCGATGCAACAAATGGATTCCACCCACAAGCTAAAGCAGCATAATATGGAAGGCCGCATGGCTGCACAAAAACAAAACGTTCAGCACCTGGCTTCTGACACCTCATGCATCATTCATCACAAGCCGTACAATGAGGCCCGAGAGGCTTCAAGGCCACATGGCAATGAGCCACACGGTCCCAGGCCAAGCGCACCACACTGTACGAGCCGCTGCCCAGCTTGCCTCGAGGCAAGCTTTTCGCACGGCAAGCTCACGCAAAGCTGGCGTATGCAACTGTCAGCTACAGTTCCATTACAGATGTACACACGCCAGTGTGAACCCAAAACTCCTCAGCTGGATCTCTCATCCGAAACCATACACTCAAATGCAGCCAGCATGCGCGAAACATCGAAGCGGTCAGCAACAACCTGCAAATTTGGTAGGCATAAAACAGGTTCCAGAGGCTGTCTGCTTCAACCAACAGGATGGGAGCCAAGATTGGAACAGTGTTCAGTGTCCAAGCTTTGGGGGCCATGCAACCATACCTCCTGAATTGTAAAATGCAATTTACTGTCAATGCTGCTGTGTTGGAACAAGTCTCTCAGAGCTCGATTGATTTCCCACTTGAGGCAAGTGAATATGCGCCTTTGTCCAATTCAACGGTACAAAAGCTGGTTGCTTGTGTGATGCAAGGGCAAAGACCCCAAAGTTTTTTCCTAAAGACACAATCCCATGTGCCTTGGCTACATGACATTGGGAACCCCAATGTTCAGGCTTTGAAGCCACTTGTCTACCATGAGCTTGAACAGGGCGCAAAACCAAGGCGCGGCCCGAACCGGATACGCCTGCAGGAAAGTAAGTCTTCAGCCAAGAGATCCCATGGCATGCCTGAGGCACTTTAGGTCGGCCGTCGGACTCCTCACCTGGACAGCGGGCAGGCCACTGGTTCGGATTCAAGGCGCAATGTGCGAACGGCAACATAGCAGAGCTCCACGTCTGGAAAAGGCAACAAACCTGATGCAAAGATGAAACCCATGCCATCAATTCAATATCCAGTTGCTGGACGCACATTCTGTGTCCACAAGCTTTTTCTCCTTGGACAGTCTGACTAAGCATGGGCGTAATCAAATGTGGCAGCTACTTTAATTCTGCGAAGCTTACTCATATCTCCAATGATGTTCGCCTGGATGCAGATCAGGTTAGGGTTGTTATGGCAGGAATGCATGCGGCCCAGCATCGAAGGTCTTTTTGCCATCCACCGGAAAACGCATCAGGAATCCCATATTCCTACAGCTGGGATGGCCAAAGCCGCTGGGATAGCCAAAACCAAGGGGATCCCGCCAGGCGCTCTCAGGATAAGATCTTGAGGCCGGTTCAATATTCAGATCGCCTTACAAGTAGTAGGATAGCGTTTGGATCCTTTCATCGTGCGACACCCCCCCTTATCACACTTCTCCCGGCTCGGACCTATGCCTGCGAGATTCGGCAGGGAAAGTGTACCGGACAAACAGGCAAATCCAAAACCAAGAAGCTGTGCTTCAAAGCCTTGTCAGAGCCCTGCCCATGCAGGCCTCAAAGCGTGATAGTCAACTGCAACATCGGCGGGACATGCGCAGCTCTTTCCTCCGGGCTATCACGCTGACCCTACCAGGAATCTTCTTCCTGCAAAGCAGTGCCATCAGCGAAGGCCAAGTACCACGTTCGGCAAAGCTTCCTTCGTCTAAAGCTCAATAATTAGGTGTCTATGCAAAATTGGGTGGCTTAGCTAGCCATGTCAAAGCAAAATGATCTTTGGCCACATCACTGTCATGGACCCCAACCAAAGCAAACTGCTGTCGATCAAAGGCTACAAAATCGGAATCCGATGGGCCAAAGAGTCGAGAGACTTGAAAATTAGGTAACAACAAATTTTGCAGGGGAAGGCAAGCTGCTGGCCAGTTGTGCCAGAACTGCCCACAAAAGCCGGTCATCTGCAGGTAGCCTGCGAGGAACAGCTTTCAGCTCAGGTGCCTCGGCGGTTGCACTCCCTGAATCTGATCCACGCCGCAATTCCGATTTTGGTCCAGCAACTACAGTATTCCGTTCCCGCTATTAATAAAACCACCCTAATAATGCAAAAAAACAAGGCCCTAAAAATTCCTCATGATCAATTTAAAAGGGGCTAGCCAGACCATAATGAATTAGGGGGGGCTTTGAAGTCATTAGGGGGGTATAATAGAAAATGCAAAGGAATTAGGGATCCCCTTGACATCTAGGTTTTGGTTGAATTTCATATGGTTTTATAAAGGATGTATATACAAGAACTGAATGCGATGTTGATTGATTTTTTACAATTTTAGCGGTATCTAAATGAATCTCGATTGAGTTTCATTGGATTTTAATCGATTTTACATTGATTTTAATCGATTTCATTTGATTGTTAAAGGAAGTTTAATTAAATTTCAATTGATTTCAACTCGATTTCAATTGATTTTAACGGTATTTTAATTCGATTTCAATTGATGTTAATGGGGTTTTGATTCGAGTTCAATTGATTTAAAAGGAATCTTAATTAGATTTCGTTTCATTTCAACGGGATTTTAATTCGATTTCAATTGATTTTAAAAAGAAATTTACTTAATTCTAACGGGATTTTAATTTGATTTCAATTGATTTCAACGGGATGTTTTTTCGATTTCAATTGATTTTAAACGGAATTTTGATTAAATTTCAATTGGTTCTAACGGGATTTTAGTTCGATTTCAATTAATTTTGACGGGAAGTTTAATTCGATTTCAATTGATTGTAAAAGGAATTTTAAATAAATTTCAATTGATTCTAGCGTGATTTTAATCTCTCTCTCTCTCTCTGTCGTGCCATCCAATCTTAATGTGATTTCAATTACTTTTAAAAGGAACTTAAATCAAATTTCTATTTTGAGGAATTTAAAGGCGGCCCAATCAAATTCTTTCAATAAATATCCACCCCTAATAATAAATAATTTGTGAGCCCCCGGATTATTTATTTTGAGGGCGGGGGTGGCGGGTGCGTCGTTTATTATTAGGGGGAAGGGATTACAGGCTGGCGCGTTTACTGTTTATTCCCGCTCGTAAAACCACGGTGCACAGTTGCAGCACTTGTTGCTTGTTGAAGAACTTGCAAGCGCACACTGACTTTGCAATCAAGATGCCTGACAATCACTCGCTTTTTTGGCGCTTGGCCTGCGCCATCTGAACGGCAACAGTCACACAGCGTCGCACATCTGTCCACATGGACTGTGTCTTCTATGCCGAGACTTCTACAGCATCCAATTGAATGTGGAAAGAAGTTTCACCGTGGGCTGGCAAACCTCCGGAGGCTGCGAGCTGCCAACCTGAGCAAAGTCTGAAATGCAGCATACATCTCATCGTCGGGTCAGCGACTTTTTCGCCTCCAGGCTTTGCTTCTGGCTGCTTTGGTCTCTAGGACTCAGCAGGTGAATTCTTGCTGAACATTCAAGGTATTGCAGATTCCCTTGTAGATGGAAAGTCAATTTTACAGATAGAACCAAGGCTGATCGAGGCTGCGGCGCTTGGCAGGGAGCCTCCAACTCCGGATTCAAACACCTGGCAGCACCCAAACTAGAGAACGGTTGTCCCGAAAACGTTGGAGCAGCGGGCAACATCTCAAAAACCCGTCTTTCGTCCAGACAGGCATCAAAACATCCTTGCATGCATCCATGACTCACAATGTCTTTCACTACCATCATTTTTTGCATCTGGGCTCGCGAACAACCAGAAGACTACTATTATTGTGCTTGTTATTGGTGAAGATTCCTGGTGTGTGACTGACGCGTGCTGCACATTTTGAGGTTTTGGACACATCCAGCTTCTTGAGCCTGCCTCGCCACCCATTTGCAGACAAGAGGGCTCTTGAGCGCCATGTGCGCGCCGTTTGCGCAGCACTTCAATCTGCTACATGGTAAGAGCTAGACCTTTCTCCGGCACGGTCTCCAGCAGTGTCTGCGCAGCAACTCATTGTTGGCTTGCGTTGCGCGGCATACATCCATGCCAGAACCATAGTAACATCCACGTTCGAGTTTTTCGGCTTACCAGAGCATCCATGCCGCAACTATGGTAACATCCATGATCATCCATGTTCGAGCTTTTTTTCGGATTACCGGAACATTTATGAGAATTACCAAGCCAATTCGATTTTTTGGTAGCCTAATGTGTAGTCTTGAGGGTTTGCGTGTGGCAAAAAACCACGCACAGGAGTTGCAAGCAAAGCATGCCAACAAGCCTTGCCCGGATACTTTTCTGCTACACATACGCGCCCTTGCAGCCACACAGAGGGGGGAAGCCAAAAGTGTGTTTCCCTGCCCGCTCCACAGCGCGTAGTGCCAGCTACATCCATGCCCCCTCCCGAAAGCACAGAGGGCGTCTTGCGCACGAGGCTCTTGAATCCTGTCCCGGATAAGGCACGACTGTCAAAGACTTTTGGTTTGCCATTGGCGATGTAGGGTTTTCGTTTTAGGTTTAAGGTTGGGGAAGTTGGGGTTGAGGGGCTTCGGCGTTTACGGTTCGCCTCTGAGTTCTTCTCTCTTCGACGTCCTTTGAAGACAATGCAGGCTACGTGCTACTCTGATGGTGCCTTGGTGCGGGACGGAACCGCCCATTGTGCATGTAAAGCATAACAAGTCCATTTTCACAAGGCCACTCCACCGCGCAGAAAGCCGAGCAAAGGCGCTTCTAGTCTTGGTGGCACTCAGCAGATTCGGATATGGATGCATGTCAACGCCAGTATCCCGAAAACTCTTCGCAGCAGCAAAAAGAGAAAGGGAATGGGTCGCGAAGCGAACCTTGACCGTGGAAGTAAATCCGCCAGTTTCAGTGGACACGCCAGCAGGCGGTGGCAACGTTGTGTGCCAAAGCCAACACGTGACCTGTCGACACTGCGCGGGAGAGAGTTTCGCAGAAGCAGGGTTCTGAAATCGTAGTTTCGCCACAGCGAGGGCTAAGCTGTCTTTAAAATAATGGACTCCCTACAGGGATTCCGCTCCTCCCGTTCACGAAAAAAATTGCTCTGATACCGCCTTTTCTCATAGTTTCACCACTTTGAAGCAAACTTGTGTGCGCACGAACACGGGTCACGCTGGAGGCGTCCTTACCGTGTGATTATCATTACTATCATCACTAGTATCATTATTCTTGCTACCATTACACATTATTATTACAATTATTATTACCATTATTTCTATGATTACTGTTACTACTACTATTATTGTTACTACTATTTTTAATGTTCTTACTTTTATCGCTCCTTTTGCGCTATTCTTACGATTATTTTGTTACTATGATGCTTTAGTATTACTATCGCTGCTGTTTTCTGAATTATCAAGAGGTTTCCAGTACTACAGTCGTACTACATACAAAGTGGTCGAGTTCGGGCTTGGAAGCCGCAGGAGGTTTCGGGAGGCTTCGGAAGGGGCGCGATTGCGATTCTGGCGAGGTGCAGCAGCTCCCGCCGGCCATGCCCCGTGCTTTAGATATTAAGTTTAGTAAGAGACACACCATGCAGACCCGATGCCTCACAACGACCGTCCAGGAGACCATCGAGCCCTCGATCCATCCGATTCACCACGGCGACCTTAATCCGAGACCTCACGACGACCTTCCATCAAAGCAGCATCACGAGATCCCATTATCCTATACCTCGCAGCATCCTGCATTCGGTCCCACACGACAACCTCTGCTCAAATCCATCCGTCACCGTCATCACACCATCCTATTTATCCGATACTTCACGCCGTCCTATTCAAAGGGCACTTCCACACCCTTCGCCACGCTTTCGGGAAAATGCATCAACAGTAAAACACAGCGTCGACAACGGAGACCTGGCAGGTGCGCCACACGCTCCCATCTGGCCTCAAGTGCCTCCGCGGGCCGCCGCCGTGCTGCCCTGGAACCGTTGCAAATAGGAGAGAGTAGTTTGTCTTGATGTTGTTTGCTGTGGTGTTGTTTTTTTGGAGGGGTGAGTTGTGTTTTGTCCTTTGCCGAGGGTTGGTTCTAGGTGTGCTTTTCATGTTACGGAGAGGTGTGAGGTGCTTGTGGTAGATTTTGCATTTGTTAAAACCTGTTGAAGCTGACTGCAAGAGTTTTTGAGAGGTTTGAGGCCTACTTGGTTTGCTCGGGTCTTCTACACAGCCCTCCCCAAATAAAACCAACCACCCCCAATAAGGCCACAAAACCCTAACTAAAGCCGCCACCCGTAGTAGCCAACGTTCCTTTTAAATGGCGGAAACTTTCATCATGAGACAGCGAGGGTGGGAAGGTTTGATGTTTGCTCGGGCTCCTTGAGGCTACACAATAGCCTCACTCCTACGCTCCAGGCCCTTACCACCCTTCGACATTAAATCCTTAACTCCAAATCCTGAACCCATAACCTACAGATTTTTGCAGCTTTGGAGCCTGTTAGTTTCTGCCGATATCTCAATTTACCGTATATTGGAGCATTTCCAAGATTGCAGACAATGTCTTTGCAAAATTGCACAAGACAAGAGGTACTGCACTTTGCAATATTGAAAGCTTGTCAAGTATTGCAGACACTATGATTGAGAGCAGCTTGTCCTAGATTGCAAAAGTTATGAGGAGCTTACAACGCCATTTGTAAGGATGGCTAGAACGGGGTCTTTAGGGGTTTTGAGTGTGGGCTCGTAAGGGTCATAGGGGGTTATACAGGTGTGGTTTGGGGGTGATACACGGGATTGATAAACTGTTTCGAGGGTTCATATGTGGTCCTCTACAGAGGCTTAGATGGCCGGTACAAGGATATCAGCGGTGCCCGCAATTCCAACTCGCACAAGCTCACGCCATCTGGTCTTGCACTTGCTTTGCTGGCAAATCTGATTCGACGCGAAAAGGCTCCGGCTTTGAATCTTTACGACGGATCGCCAACTGTCCCCGTCATGATACAAAGGCCCACGCGGCCGGCAGACATCTGCTCTGATGGGAAAGGTCTACCATCTGTGTCTGACCAAATCCACATATCTGTTCGAATCCGTATCAGCTGCGTTTCCAGCAATCATTCGGCCGGCACTTGTTCGGTTCTTTGTCATCCTTTGTCAGTGCAGTTTGCGCAGTTTGTGCTTCGACTGTGATCCCCGTGATCTTTGCGAGCTCCCCCAATTGGACCCAGCCAAATGGTCCTTCACTGAAGCCATGGACCGGGAAATTCGCCGCTAGCCTGTAGCCACCAACACTGTACCAGTCTCCGCCTGCACCGTCATAGTTTTTTTAGCGGCCTCCCACTTCGAGCACGAGCCTTGGATTTTTCCTGCAAAGAGCGCTTTCTTTCGTTGTTCGGGTGTTTGTGATATGGCTACCGGCTACTGCTCCAGATTCCGCCCGCAATGATCATATCTTGATGATGGCTTGACTGGCACATCTGACGCGTGTTTCCCCTTGATGATGGAGTGTACACGTCTGCGAACATGTGATTGAAAGGGACGTTGATTGCCACCCTCTGCATGATAACGTTACCCTTGATGAGGTTTCTTTGCCCTCTTGATCATTTCCTTTCCCCGTCGTACTTGGGATGTGGGGCTGTACATTGGCTCTCCAGCGTGTCAAATCTATGAAGGATGGCCTCAATATTCTTCTCTTGCTCCAGCTGCTTCTCTTCTGGCCAGGGCGCAGAGCTTTTGGATGGTCTCTTCGTGCGATTTCTGCCATAGGGTCAAGGGCCAAGTGGTGTCGAGCTTGTGTGCCACTTGAACCTCTACCGAATTCAAGCGCCCTTCTACTCCCTGCAGGACTGGCAGCACTGGGGCTACATCCCTAGGTAGATCGTCTAACCGTGTAGGCTGTCTCACCTCGTGCTTTCTTGATCGAGCTGCCATTGCCCACTCCAAAGTTCCCAATGATCGTCTGCGCTCTGTTGTGCACTCTATCATCTTGATCCACATTTATTGGCCTGTTGTGTGTGGCCTCCCCTTTGGATGAGGCACTCGTACTGGCTGAGCAGCTGGAGTTGCGACTCGCCTCAAAAAATTGAAGTCCAAAGCGTGGTTCTCGCAGCTGAGGTTCAGGAGCTGCAGCGTTCACAGCACGTCGGCTATGGGCTCTGGCTTGAGTCCCTTTTGCTACAAGCTTGTCGGAAGAATGCTGACAAAGGCACGTCCATTTTGCAGGGAAGCAGGAGCAACTTCCCGCCCCCGACACGCCGGCCCAGTGAATACTCCCAAAGCACAGTAGGCGGAGACTTGAGCCAAAATGGCTTTATTTCTTTCTTTCCTCCGTTCCCCTTTCTTGCTTCTTTCTTATCTTTCTTCCTTTCCTACTTCCTTCCCTGAAAACCTGAAAATAAAAATGCTGTAAATAAAAAAACAAAACAAAAAAAAGTACCCTTGCCACTCACATTTTCTGGGCAACTGAAATCCTGGAGTCTCCGGCGAGCCCCGAACCTGAGATTGCGCAGCTTACAGAAGAGCCAGCGGCGCAGTCCTGAAATGAGACTCGTAGTCCGTGCCCTCGTCTGCTATGTTCGCCGCAGGGTCACGAGCTTCACAAGCGAGAATCCTACCCCGCGCAAGTGCCCGTGAGAAATCTAGCAGGTTGGAAGCTCGAAGCAGGCGCACCTCATGCATGGAAATGTCCACACAGACTTACCTGGCAGAAGCGTCAACATGTCTGCATTTTTAGGCTTGCCATGCACGTACAAATTCATGTATTGGCAATACAATACATCTGTGACGACCTCGGCCATCATCGACTGCTCCGCCCAGCTGCCCCAGCACCTCCAGCTGGGGGTCGGCTGAGGTAATGAAGGCAATCCTGCAGCGCGCAATTTCCACAGGCAACCATGCTTGGGCAGCCCCATGGTCCACAGCAACTGCAGTCGTCCTCGTGAATGCTCGCAGGACAAAGAAAAGGACGATACACCTAAGCTGTGCTAGACATGCAATGGCTTTTGAAAATGATGACGCTCATGAGATGAGGGCATCGGACCCGACTGACCATTGACGGTAGCTTGCTTTAGTTGCTCTAATCGTGGAAGCACAATGCGCAAATCAAAAAAGGCTATGCAAGTAAGCTGCGACACAAAGGCGAGGCTTCTCTTGCACATCTCCTGGCATGCGCACAGCATGCACAGCATGCACAATCAATGAAGCCGCTTTGACAGCCAAAGGCATAAATAGGAACAGCAAAATTTCGAAGTTATTCCTCTCAAGCTGCTTGCAAGGAAATGACGTTCTCCTAACGAGAGCACCGAATGTCTCGTGTCCGCAATTCACGTTGGAGGTCGTGATTAGTGTATATAGTTGAGGGTGGGGCATCATACTGCAATACCAGAAGCTTAAACCAAGGAGTTTCCCACTTCAAGACGCCACGACCACCAATACCACCACCTTGGTATGGAAAAAAGAAATTGAGAGCCATAATTGGGGATAGTGATTATTGAAGGGAGATAGCGCGAACTTTGGCCATACGGATAAGGATAAGGGTACGGAATAATTTTTTTGTCCCGTACAAATTGACAAGAAGGCAGAAACGGAATGATGGCATGACTTGAACTGGAACCCCGGCGTCATTAAAAGGTAAGCCTTAGCCCTTAAAAAGGGAACGGAATGATCTGGTCAATGCCATGCCTGGGCCACAATCTATGAAACTCAAATTGGTTGTTACTTCCGGTTCTCACATTGAACACAAGTAGCAAAGACAGCAGGAGGTCCAAAGTGTTGGGCTGAGTCTCAACCCAAGATTTCTGGCCCCGAGCGCGCCCACACACGACCCAGCCCCCCAAGCAACCTTTCCTAAACTGGTTGTTTGAGGGCTTTGGAATGAGAACCAGTTTCGTATTGGAGCAGAATTCTGCCATGAGTTTTGCAGGGTCTTCGCGTAACACAGCCAGAGCTGCGCTTTTGGGCGAAGATCCCTTCCGCAAGATGACGTTCATCAAGAGTCTAGTCAAATGTGGCTCAGTGGCAAGTACCGGATGTGTGAGCGGCCGTCTGAGCTTGGAATGAGCATTGAAACGATGAGAAACATAGCCGGCAGAAAAGCTTCACGTCGGACAACCCTCGCGTTCCAGTCATTGCCGTCTTCGTCGTCGTCGTTGTCGTCGTCGTTGTTGTTGGTTCTTGTTATTATTTGTCTTTTGTTTCTGCTTCTTGTTCTTCTCCTCCCACTCAAGTTTGCAAATCAAACACGACGCAGTGTCCAGAATCCAGCCGATCGCACTGCGGGGCGGATTTCCTGCGCAACACATGCAGCTTGATAACACTTGGTCTGCCTATGGTTGTGTAGCTGGGGACCTTGAAGAGCTGATTTCGGAAACAACGCGAAACTGTTTAAACAAGGCCTAAAAAGTTAAGGGCAAAAACAATTGAAGCGGTCATTGACCCTTGCTATTTGGAACAGGTCCTTCAGCCAGCGCCTTTTGCAGTACAGATTCATTAAAGTCTCGAGCGAAGTTGCTCGTCCGAAACCTGAGGCTTGTGCCAGGAATTGCAAGTGACCGGAAGTTTGGAACAAGTTGGTACATGCTTGAACATGATAAGCACAGGCGCACGCAGGTGTTGACACCCACTCACTTGCTACGCTACTGACTGGAAAGCCAAATCTACCTTGCCCTTTGCGCGTAAACGCATGCAGGCCAGGGCGAATGGATCTGCAGAAAACAAAGGTTCAAGTACTGTGGAACGGATAGATGTTGCGAGGCGCAGAAACCAGCACTCCGAGCCAAGCAAGTGCAATTACCGCCTGCAGTAGATGCAAGTCGTCAATAACCATCGTAGAGCAAGCGGCTGACAGGCTTTTGAAGACTCGCGTCGCGTGACCCAATCAAGCCCCACAAACTATCCAGCCCTTGTTCCCCTCCTAGCGGTTGTATCGAATTGCAGCTACACCTGGGAATATTAGGCTCAGCACTTGTGGCCCATCGTCGCAAAGCTAGGAAGAGCCTGGTGAAAGAGTTGAAGGTCTGAGGCTCTGCCGTGATAATGTGATAAATTTAAAGGTGTCCCTACCTGACAGCAGTCTGTCGAAACTAGCTAGTAACCAGCAGCAAAGGCTGCCTACGTTACACCTAGATTGCACAAATTACTACAACAATACGCAGTCAACTAAATGCTCTCAAATAAAGACAGGGCATCGCTGGACGCAACTGGATGAAGACACAAATGGTCTCAGAATTTCATTGCCCTGCCCATGGTTTCACACTGCCTTGTCCAGGGATTCAGCGTCCAAGCCGCGGTTTACGATGCCCTGCAGCTTGGCACGCGCTGCATCGGCCTCCAAGCAAGTGAAAGGCTGATGTTTTCAGGCAACTTGCCATGCATGAAGCTTTCTCGATGCAGTGATTGAAACATCTTTTGAGCGGACCATGCTGCAGGCTGCACCTCCCCAAGTGCACACCACATTCCGCCGAGTGGCATCATCAAAGTCTACCAGCCATGAGTTTTCTCCGTCTCGCACAAACCTGCACTACAGGAGTGACAAAATCCACCACGCAACTGCAGAAGGCAAAGCCAACTGAGACGAAGCTTGGGTCTTTGCTCCAGGTGGCCCTGGGCCGGCTGCAGAGCACAGGGCGTTCCCGAGCAGAGCGCCTCCAAACCAAGAAGTTGTACCCTCAAGCGGGCCAAGACAACGCAGAGGACACAAAGACCAGCCTCAATCACAGTATTGCCCAACGTCTCAAAATTCGAGGCTGACACGAAGAGGTCGCTTGCAGCATATGCAGCGCCTTTCAGATTCCGCTCAGCGAACACATGGACTGGGCTTGTCTCCTTCACCCTTGTCTGTTAGCATTCGCTGCAAGCTTAGCACCCTCTGTGCAGTCTCCAAGTCAGCTGCGCAGCTCTTTGCCATTGAGCATCTTTCTGAGTGGGAGTACGTTGGGTCGACCTACTCAGAAGAGGGAAACAAAGCATGAAAGGTTTTGCATCCTGAGCTTGGCCTGATGTTGGGGCGTCCATCACTGTCTGGCAGTAGCCAGAGGTTCCATCCCCAACAATCACCAACGCGCAATCCTGCCAACATTCGCCCAATCCGCCATGCTGTTTCCAGCCGGTACCCCAAAAGCGGGCCTTTGGCAACGCCTCCCACAACAAATGGATTCGCTTCTCAGCGGACCATCTGCCAGCAGACCTTCGCTTGGGTTCAAGCCAGGAGCAGAGGAAACTCCTACCACGTCCCCCCCCTCTCATCTGGGCCATGTGGCAGAAGGATTGCTCGAGGCTCCTTGGCTTCTGGGAAAGCACATCTCTAGACTAGACTAGCCGTGCTCAGCCAAATTTGCTCAGCTGCCGTGGCTGTGTCATGAGGAAAGACAGAACCGGTAGAACTGAGCACGGGCCAAGGCTCAGAACATCCTTGCGCACGAAGTTTCGCCAACCACTCGCTTCGCAGAGCCTGTGCCTGGAATATTGTACTTCCCTGTGGCGCAGTCTCAAGCATGCGGCGATGGCATGAGCAGCAGCACGCCTTGTCAGCCCACTCTCGCGGTTCCGCTTTGAACTCCTGGCATCAAACAGGTGAACAATGGCATCCGAATATATCTGGCCGGCAGTCACAAGCAAATCTGTCAGCGGAACTTTTACCGAACTAGTCCTGCCGAAACGCGTGCGCACACCATGCTACGGATACCCCAAACGCGCAAGTACGTCCTCAGACCAAAGGATGGGTGGCCAAATGGCGCTGATGGGGATGCCGTACCTCAACTTCTACCCCTGCTGGACCGGCAACTTCCACTTATTTCCACTTTCCAGCTGGTGGCACATGCGAGCTAGGAGTGACTACTTATGGTTCTGTCAAGTTGCGTTTTGGCCATTTGGGCTCCGAAAACTCGGGACACGGTCGCATGCACGCTTGCAAGCCTGCACTCGGAGTCAGCAACGACAAAACGTCGCAAAGGAAGCTTGACAATGCAAGATCCCGGGACGCGGGGACTGACACTATGCAAAGCCACAAGTGCTGGCTTATGCAAAGTCAGACGTGTTTGATCTCAAGTGTCAAGGCGAAGGAAATAGCATGCACATTTGCATCTGCACACAGAGGCTGCATGCCAAAACCTGCAAGTAAGCTGGCCAGTTTCGCAAGGAAATGCGTGTGACTGTTGACGACGTTGATCGCTAGACTCCTCTACTTACAACCGCCATGCTGCTGACAGGACATGACCATCACCACCCACCTTCGGTGTGAGAGTGTCACAGGAATCCCCGTGGCCTGGCCTTGTGCTGAGCATGTGAATCTTCCACACAAGCTTCACCACACCCTTGTAAGCCTTGCAAGGCAAAGCAGCAAAGTCACAAAGCACTTGCTGTAGGTAAGACATCCATCACGTACCCACCCTCACAGCATCAGCAGGGCCTTCATGTGCGTGATGTCTGTGTGGGACGAAACCTGAGCTGCCCAGCCGTGCACGATGTGGAAGCTCACACGTTTGCAAGCCAAGCCCACATACAAAAGGATTCACAGCATAACTTGCAAGATTTTGCACCTAAAAATTACTCCAGTTCCCGCAAATCATCAAGCGTGCTGTTACAGGGAGGGACATATTGCCCATCAGTATCTGTAGGGATGTCATGCCAAAGTGACACCAAGCCACTACGGTCGGAATACCCAGAGCGCGCGTCAGCAGGAGCAATTCCAACCGCCAGGGGACCTTCAAACAAGCCAAGCAATCTGTCTCCGTTAACCCGGCTGCTTTCCAGCCATCAAACAAGACAGACCTCATGCTCTGGCTTCGCACTAGCAAGCATGGCAGCGCATTGCGCACATGGGTTTGTCTTCCCACCACACAGGTTTGTGTTTGCCCGGCTGAGCTTCAGCCTTCGGCATACTGGAGATAAGTTAAGTGAAAACTCGAGGAGGCCAGGGTCGTCCAAACCATCAGGATAACCAAGAAATGCGACATTTCCCTGGGCCCCTCCAAATTTGTTTCGAGCCTGGCTCACATGCAAACAAACCTTTACCCTGGCAAAAGATGGGCTGAGAACCATGATTTTCCAATACTTGAAGCATCTATTGCCAGCACATCATAGCCGGCAGCGACTCGCAAGGTCAGGGAGATCACTTGGAGGGCTCGTCGGCAGTGTCCGCCATGAAGTCAGCTGCGCGGCTTACACCCAAGTTATCCTCTGGCAAGGCCTCAATCAAGCCATCCTTGTTCCGCACTAGTAGTGGGGACTTCTCACTTGTCATCGTATTTGGCAGATCTTCCACCTGGAGGTCTGCTCCAAGCTGCTTGTACCCGTCAGTTGTCATGCGAGTCACGTTCTCGCCTTGTTGGGCCAGCTGCTCCACATCCCAAATCCCAACATCTAGGAGCCCTGTCTTGTCTGCTAACAAATGGCGGCTTCCACAACCAGGGCACGTTGCGATCACAATGCCTTGCTGATATGCGAGCCGGGAGATCATGTGCGAATTTCGGGTCTCACACACCTTGCAGGTGAAAAGGATCTGAAACTTGCGCGGGGCCACCCTGGCAAAGGGTATTGGTCCCGTAGCTGTCTGTTCATTGTTCTCCTGGGGCTTCTTGGAGGCCGGAGCAGCTCCCAAGAGCTTGGGTGGCTCATCCTCTGCTGTGTCCTTCGGGGGCATCAGCGCAAAAGTTTGAAGCCATGCTGGGTTGGCAACTAGCAACACCAGCACCACGGCGATGACGCGGCTGCAGGAAAATCGGATGCGTTGCCGGTCATGCCCATAGCTGCGCAATGCGCTTCTGCCCATGGCTGGACTTTGATCTCAACAGGATCTGCTGACTGCTCCGAAAGCCGTGTGGCCTCTGAAGGAATAAGCATTTACCCATTTACCCACAAGCGTGGCTTGGTAATGGTGCTCACTGTCAACAGCTTCATCAGAACCAAATCACCGCCACATGACTGTGATGACTTGTCGCATCTTGTTGCCCGGGCCAACTGAATTGAGGCCAGGGTCTTGGACACAACCAGGAGGCTCAGACACTGCCACCCTACACTTCCACATCGCGCAGTAGGTTTGCCACTTGCCACAAAAGCTGTCTGATTTGCGCATGGGGGCCGGGCATCATCCAGGAACAGGCAGTCGTAGCCTCCGCGAATCATTGTCTCCCTGGCCGGTTCAAAGCTCTGACTTTCGACCAGAAACTGTCCAAACTGCAAGACAAAACAGCATGTGCGAAGGAGGACTCAAAGGTCAGCTGCCTGAGAAGCGCTGCAGCATTTGCATAGGAGAAGAGATCCTGGCCAGGCCAAGGTGAAAGTTCGCAGCTTTGCACAGCTAGACTGTGCAAGCGTGTTACATTCTCGTCAGCAGGTACAGTATTATTGCATTGCACATGAGAGTAAGACCAAGCGGCCAAGAAGACAGCCACGCCATCTGTGGAAGAGCGGATTCGGACCTGCATGGCGAACTTCTCTGCCTACTCACTTGAATATCTTGCTTGCTTGCTCTGCAAGCGCCAATGGCTTCAGGCACTGGCCCCACGAGCCGGGAGATGAACCAGCTTGCCTCCGAAAAAAACCAGCTAAAGGTTCCCGGCACACGCTTGCTTGCGCTTGCTGATGCTTGCTTCGAGAGTAGCACACCTTCTTTTAGCCATCGTTGAATGTCCTTTTCGCTGCTCCTGGTGCAGTCCACGGGCGTCATGAGGGTCACGTTCCAGCCTCGGTACATGGCTGCCAGCGCTCTCGGCACATGCGTCTGCTGCTTTTTGCTGAGAAAAGCGCTGGCAGCACTACGCAAGACGAATGATAACAGTTTCAAGGTCCCAAGATGTTCACAACTTCAGGATGGGATTACCCAGACACGGTCCACAAAAAATTGCTTACTCTGCCTATCAGCCCAAGCATGTACTGGTGTCGGCCATGGGGCCATGGGCCGGACGCTGCAAGTGCACATGAAAGGCCCAAAACTACCCCATCCTAAACCATCCTGAACCCTGGACCCTCAACCCAGATGAGGGCGAGGATTCCGATTCGAAAAGCTACTCTGTGACACCAGTGTAGCAAGCTTGTCTCTCCTTCCTTCCTGATAGTGCTAGGGCCCTGAACATTATCCCACAGCTACCTCAAGGAATCGGTGGAGATCCATCCTCCAGGCGTAACCAGGCCAGCCGAGGCCCCGGCCCAGGCCGTCTATAAGCGCACGGCAAAGCGTAAAATATCGCTTGGATACCCCACCTGAAGCCATTCTTTCTGACTCAAGACTCCCTTGTCGTTTTTTCTTCCGGTGCAAAGAACCTGGGAGCCTATCCTAGGAGTTTCAATACAACCCCCCCAAATCATTCAGCGACCCGCCCACCTGCATTTTTTAGGAGAGGCGGAAAACACTGCACCACCACGAGGGCCTTCATCGCCCTTCAGGGTCGACGCTTCAGCAACAATGTTGATGGCTTCTGTACGGTGTTGCTGCATGACAACACTGTTTTGGATGCAGGCTCTCATATTCAGCAGCTAGCTCTTCAGCCGATTGAAGCTGTCAGGAGCAACCAGCACACGGCAAGCAGAGGCTTTCCTGTGTAATTGGAAGGGCTACGCATTTGACAGTGCTTGATGACTTAACGTTGACAAGCGCAACACTTGTGGCTTCATGCCCAAGAGGAACTACTTGTACTGGCCTGGACGCCGGCTGCGGCTTTGGCCCAGCCAGCTCAGCTCAAGTCGATCCAAGCAATCCGCGGGGCCGCAGGCCGATTTGGAATTCGCTTTGCTGCTGCACATGCCAGGCATCGGCAACACATACAGCCTTGCAAAAACCTTTGCACGCACTTTTCTAAGGCATGTCAAAGGTCAGATCCGGATAACACAGCTGCTGCATCAGCTCAAGGTATGTTTTGTCAGCAGTTGATCGGGAAGCAACTTGGGACTATGATTGCAAAGGATCTCGCTACAGGCTTAAGGAAGGATCAACTGTCTGCCGGGATGTCGTGGCATCTTGAGCTAGCACGGACGAACAGTCCGGAAACTGCGATGAGCAAGACTCGTCGCTTGTCAACACTTGAGCCGGCTTTGAGCGTCCACTCCACCAATCCAGGACACAGCATGCGTGCTTAACTTTGGGAAGCGTGTAGTCATGGACGTTCCTTCAGCTCCGGAGGCAACAGCTGAGTTCAGTACTACACTTTGGGGGGGATTGTGGCTGGCATCATTTGCAAGCTTTGGTCGGCAGCCTGATGTCACCTCTACCGTAGCTGATGAAGCTGGCAAAGCAGGCCATGCAATGCCCAGCTGCTTCAAAGACAGGGTCCTGCAGAAGCATGGTGTACCGTTAGCCACGAAGGCTGCTGCATGAACAGTCCCTGCCTTTCTGTTGCTGGGCAGAGCGTAGTCTGCTCGCAGGAAGGACGTTGTGAGATCCTTCCTTGAAACTTGAAGCACATGTGGGCTGTATGGCGAGGTGAAATCGAAGAGTCAGAATTGGGCCTGGCAACTTAGAACGACTTTCCATCACGCCCTTCCTGAAAATATGAAAATCTTGGATTTCCTGGGGCGTTGAGGCTTAACCTTCCAGAGCAAGTTACTCTGGTTGCCTCCGCGACGCTTCTTATGCTGTCGCCCTTGCCGGAAATGAAGGTGAAACGCCCCCATGCGAGGCTCTCCTAAGGACATCCAAAGCAGGTGCGAAAAGTTAGCCCACAAAGACGTGACTCGTTTAAAAAAATGTCGCTGCAGTTAGCCGCAGGGCTATATGTGCTGCTGGACCACTAGGTGTTTGCTTCGCTCCTGCCTGGATTGATAAGACACAAGCTGTCCCTTCCGCATCTGAGCAGCCCAATCACATGTAGAATTCGCCTGCCAAAAATACGCCCGGTGATTGCAGGCTGCTCCCTTCCTCATCCGGACCCCATGTTGGGAATCACATGGATGAGGGGAGACTCTGCGAAGGGAGCTACCCTGTTTAGCGACTGGTGAAACCTGGATTGATCTGGAGAGGCCTTCCACACCTATGCGAGCATCCCCCATCTGATCCTATCACAACGAACGAAAAGTTCAGTACAAATACACTTTACGGTGGCTGTTGGACCAATAGCGGAGTCTCGAGTTGGCACAAATGACCGCGCAGTTGCACTGACAATGCAAGCGCCCTGGCCCAGCCATCCTACCTCATGCCACAGAGCTTGCCTGAAGATGTCAATGAAACATGTGCACGGCACAAGGCACTTGACGTGCTGCGCAGGCCGATGGCGATCTTCGCCCACACACTTCGCAGCTGTGTCTGTTCTACAATTGGCATCTTAGGTTCTGCTGCCTCGGAGCTGCAAGTATTGCAGGATGTTGCCGGAGTGCTGCTAAGGGATCAGGTCTGAGACGTGCAGCGGAGCCAAGCGAGAACATTTGTGGGAGCAACTTGCATTCTGAGAAACAATTTGAATGGGTGAGAAGCGATACGGAACGCTAGTCATTCCGTCTCCAGGACCACCCAAGCAGAGGAGGCGCCGATGTACACACACCACTGGAAGACCAGGAAGGCAGCACTTGCCAGCTGCCAGCGGCCTTCAGAACAAGCGCTTGATGCGGCATAGCCGGCTGTGACCAGCCCGAACTCCACACGGCTATCATTGGCTAAGCTCCAAACGTGGTCCGCCAAGCTCGCCACCAAAGGTCCGTCGACGGAGGTACAGCAGCATAATAGCACCTGGGCGTGATATGCAAAAGGAGGGACACTGAAAACACGAAACGTCTCCAAGCTTGCTTCAACAAATGCTTGGAAGCAGCTGCGTCCAGAAAGCCTGCTTCCCTCGCAGCTATAGATACTGGCAACAACTAAGGCGAGTGCAAATAGCATTGCACGAGAAGACTAAAAGGTTGAACCACAAAGAACCTTGCAAGTCAGCTGGCTTCCGTATCAGAATTCGTGATGCTTGGGGCACCCAGCCTGCAGGTGTTACGAAAACGGCTGTTTCCAAGTTGTTGTAGCCGACAATTGATGACCTGACAAGTAGTCACAAGAGGTGGCTCTTTCGACTTACCCTGGCCCACGAAGTGCAAGCAGTGTGTCAACTGTTCAGCCCTGTCTACGGCAATTTACCGAGCGCAAGGCCTGATGTCAAAGTACTTGCCACCAGCCTTGCGAGCCAACAAGATATGTAAGCTCCCTGCCGTGTCACAACGTGTAGTATACTTAAGGGCTCTTGCCTGCGCTCTTGCCTTGCATCTCTTCTGGGATTCTGCCACGCTGCTTCTACTTAAATCCTTCACATTGATGTCCTATCCTGGTTCGAGGTTTGCAGTGCCCTCCCTACACAGCTTGCCCTAGATCACCCCAACACGACTTCGACTTCTGACGCTGCCTGCGAGTCCTCGAGCCTCAGATTTACCCTCTAAATCCAGTTTGGGTGACGCATCAAGAAAAAGGTTGACAAGCATCTAGAAAAAATTACCTTAAAAATCATTTTTTTGAAAAATTGAAGCTGGCGAACGGTATCAAAAGATAATTTGGTAAGCATCAAGAAAAAATTGAGGATCACTGTACTATACATCAGCAAGCATTAAGTAAATGGGGAATAGTAGCACTCACAGTACAAAAACGGATATTACGTATCTGGTAGCAATACCGATAAGAACCATATTTTGAAAGAAATTACGGCTCAAATTATTTTTAGATGCTTGGCAATTTTTTGTTGATGCCTTATCCATTCATTTGTTGATGCCTATGCCCTAAACCCACCTAGTTGGCCCAGTCACCCTGCGGACTTTGAATGATCAAGTCTTAGCGGGTCCTGCCTGCAGCTTTGACAGCCAACTTGAGAAGGTGGCTGAGCTTGTGCTCATGGTTTGCCAGTAGATGGCGCCAATGGTCCAAGGCCTCACACGCGCTTCACAAGCCACTGCGCGCAAGCCTACTTAGACCTTTCTATCCATCATCACAACGTCACCATGTATGCACAAAAAGGAAGGCCGCCCTCTCCACTCGCCCGGGATGCTGCGCCCTTGGCTGCGGCCCAGGCATTCCTAGACCCAGGAACACATTGACGGAGTTGCTACCTGTGACCTCAGATTGCATACGTACTCTCAGCCCCCTCTGCAAGCAGCACAAACTGCAGTCACATGAACGTGGCAATTGCTTGCATGAGCAGTCTTGCCCGTGTGCGAGCTGTACACAGACACTGAGAGACACACATTCCCAATGGAAGCATCTGCATATGGATCCAAAGTGGCAGCCGTCTTTGACGCGAAGGTGTCCTAGGTAGCAGGTTGCAGACAGCGCAACGATGCGCGACGTGTTCCAAACCCTCGGGGCTTGACGGCCACGACTAGAACCTTTACACAATGGCGATAGAACTTGATTTGCATCTAGATTTTCCCCAAGACCTGAAGGCTTTGCAGCTGCGCCGCAGGCAAGGAGGTCCCCAACGCTACGAAGGTAATGGCGGTGATCTCCGGCCCAATGTTCCTGACAGCTGCGCAGCGCATCCAATGAAGCTGCGATTTCCAGATGGCGCACAGGAAGCTCAACCCTTAAATGTCTTAGCGCTGCAGATGCCCAGCAAGATTCCGTGCGTCACGCTGAACATGCGCTGCTTGAAGACATGAGAACCCCCTCCTTCCCCCCCCCTTGCGGCATGCGGAGATTACTAGAAGTGCATGCGGAGCGGCAGCGTGCAGCCCACAAGGTTGGCCAGGTCTCCAATCACAGCGGTCAGCACGGCCTGAGTTACAGCCAGCGCAGCAAGGGCTGCAAAAGCCACCCCAGCGTTGCATGCGTCAGCTTCTTGCAGTCTATCAGCAATCATGCCGAGCGCGACGAAGAAACAGCACCATCCTGAGTTGCTGCTGGATTTGCTGAAAACGCTGGCACATCGAACAGTTTCAGACTGCACCCTGGATGCTGAGGCCCGTGTTGAGCAAATTTAGCATATGAAGGGGAAAACATGGGGACTTTCTGCAGGATTGCTCTCTACTACAGCTCAAATCTCTTTTGCTCGCCAAGGCACCATTGCAATAATCTACCGGGGGAATGAAGGCAAACAGCAACTTCCATGGCATGCCTGATGGACACCATGGCATGCTGCCACTTCCGTAGAACTCAGCACATCAGCTCGCGCCTATGAAGTGGATGGCCACATCCATACAGGAGCGGCCCCCGCGACCCTCCTCCTCCTTCAGTATGCGACACACAGCCACTCTTCAGAACTCGAACCAACTGAGCAACCAAAGCAGAAAGACTACATTTCCCAGAGCGTACGAACTAGCCCTTTGACCAATGAGATCGCATGACAAAAAGCATACTAGCACGAAACGGGTTTTTGTACAGCTGAGGAGCATCATCATCATCATCATCATCTCGGCTCAGGAACACGGCAGCTCGAAACTGCTCCTGCACACCGCAAACCAAATCAGGGCTGGCGTTTGGTTTTGGCTGCTACCCCTGTGGTGCCTTCCAGTTGGAGTAGCCAAGGGCATGCTTGTTCCAGTTGATCTGACTTGCCTCTGTCAGTACAATAAGCTCAGTGCAAGAAAGCACAGCATTGAAACAAACAGGAACTCAAAGGTATTTGGTCAGGTAACGATACGGTCCAGCGCCGCTTTCCGCTCGTCATCAGCTTTGATGACAACGTGGCAAATGCAACCTTGCTCCGGAGACAGGGCTTCTCAAAGCCATCACATGCATGCGAACAAACTTGCTGGTGAAGTCTTCCTGATCTTTCTGGCCGTTTGCAAAACACCACCACAAGGTCTCAGCACGCCAGCATGCACATGCCGGGGCTGTAAATGATGAACATTGGCCATTTCTTACACATGGCTTGCACTAAATCTTTCCGAATAAGGAGTTGCCTGCTGCCCCCAAAGGCCACTGATGAATGTTGATAACGCCTCCAAGTCACTCGCTGAGCCCCCATCTGTCGACCGGTCAAAACTTGCACCACCGCTCGGCTCAACAAGGTAGACGTTGAAGGAAGACGTATCTGGACCAACATGTGCAAGCTAATTAGCAAGCATTTCAGCATGTCTTGGAAGTGGTTGCTGTGACTTCGTGACTTAGCTGCAGGTCTCAAGAACTGAGGGTTGCCATTGGGCACTTCCAAGCCCACTTTGATGGAAAGTGCGGCAAGGAGTGGAATCGGGCGGGCCATCGCAACACAACAGAAAGCAACACAAAGCTGGAGAAGCGTAGCAAGAGAAGACACTGACCTGGGCAGCAAGCACAACCTCTGAACCAGGCCACAAAAACGAATGCTGACAGTGGAAAGCAGCAGCTGCTTTCATTGATGCCAAGACCTTCATAAGACTGAAAGGTACCGAGAAGTCCTTGACCCCCAAAAAAACTGCAAAGAGGTGCAAAGGTCCGAATGCTGTGACACTACTACTGCTACTTACAGGAAGTTCCTGATGCTTGAACAAGGCTATGCTACAAAACATACTGGCACCTGAAAAGATGTCAAGGAGTCAAGGAGGGACCAAAAAGAAGTAACAGTATAAGCCAAAGTCCATCGGTGCACAAAAAACCGTCACGCAAGTTACGAGGGCCCGACTCATCCCTAAGTACGCGAGATCACCGACTGCGTGGTGCGATCTTTGCACAATTTGGGGGCACAAATGCCATTTTGTGGCAACGTTGTCACATTGTTGTGCGCGCACTCCGCGCATTTTCGTGCACGCTGGCATGCATCATAGAAGAGCTTCGTGCCTGGTGCATTTGCTGGCAAGTCACTCTCGTACCGACCCTTGGGCTTGATGGTGATTTCGATCGTGGCGGTCTGCACCTGATTTGGAATCTCTAGAATTTACACGCTACTGTAAAAAGGCAGCTGACCTACCCCCTCATGGCATGTGCTAGTTCAGCGGCACGTTCGCCAAGAAAGCATGCCACCGCACTCTACCAGATAGATTGGTTCAAAGCATGCAAGGCAACACTGACAAGTCTTCATGCTAACATTCAGCTACATGATCTGGCCCATGGTTCTGACCGTTAGACTGCCCGCATCATGCGATCAAGCAGCTGTGTGATCAAAAACAAGCGTGCCAGAAGCCTGCAACAATGAGGACACTGGCAGTAAACCACGAACGGGCACGCCAGCAATAGCAGTACGGCCTCGACATAATCGTAGCCAGCAATGGCTGAATTATCTTCCGTGTAGTACCGACATTCGATGGGTCCTGCATACCAAAGAGGTCTTGCTATTTGTGTGGCACAGATGGGCAACCCTTCATGTCAGCAGCGCCGTCCAGCAGGTCAAAGAAAACACGTTGTGACATTTAGTCTGTGGTGTACTGCAGGTTGGCGAGGCCTGTTGCGCCATTGTAGCGTTCCACAATGATGCGGAGAGTTGTCTCCTCGACGCAGAGGCAAGGTGACCAACTCCTGTGCCCCCTGCTTCAACGCGACTAGAGTCCTCCTCACGCTCCTTTACCTCCACCTGTTCATGCCTCAAGCGTGCATGCATGTAGGCCGTCAATGAGCCCCACATAAAGCCACAAAAAGAGTTTCTTGCTCGATCTAGCTAATTACCATGACATAGTGATTCCAACGCAACTGTATGGGAATCTGCAGTGGTAGCATGCGCACTTTCCATCCGAGGCCACTGCTGGAAGCGAAGCTTCCCTGGCTCGTCATCATCGACAATGACCTCAGAAAAATGCTGATGGCGGCTGTTCACAACGGCAACAAAGTTCAGCCCCAGTCCACTTCAATAAAGAGGCACGGCTCGGCTCCCAACAAGGATCGCAGCTAGCTTGGTTTTCCTACCTTTGCCTTGACTCCCATTTCTTGTTGCCAAGCTGCCACCGTCACCGTCGCCAGACCAGGGCGAACACGCACCTTAAGGCAGCATGCAGGTCTTCTCCAGTGATTCATGCCCTAAGGCCCAAATCCCGTACCTTTACGTCCGGGGGATGTTCCATGCCGTCGAGCTTGGGATGACTGAGGTCGAGGTAAAACTCCTGTGCATGCACAAGCCCTGAAAGAAAAGCTTGGAATGAAAAGCGGCCGTCAATCTTGCACAAGAAGCTCTTCAAGTCAGCATTACTCGAAGGCATGGAGGAGCTGCTGCTATCGGCACTTGTCCTCATCCTCCTCATATGCTGCGTCGTCAATTATCTCGACGAAGAAGTCCTGTCATTCATAGAGCATTTCATGACTGACCCACCTAGGGCGATGCCGGCGATGCCAGCAAAGTTGCAGTCGAGGGCTGCAGCTCGCTCTTTCGCACATCCTCAAGGTTCCCTGCTTTGGGGCTTGACTTGCGAACATTGCGAACTGTGAGACGTCTGTTCTAAAGGTGCTGAGCCGATCTCTTCCGGCTCAGACTCCACCTTCGAAAAAGCGATAATAGGGTTGGACTTGGACTTAGGTAGACGCCTGGCAACCCACAAAAACACAAAGGCCCAGAGATATCATCGTAGCAATACAATACTCTTTGAAACCAGGGCCTCCAAGATCGTGGCAGTGCTCAAATGCTTCTCGGCTGCCCGTTTACGCAAAGCCTCCAGCTCTTCGGCCAATTCCTCTGATATCAATGTCAGGATTACATGTGTTTGAACCCCCTCATGCGTCCATCGCTGCTCTGGCTGAATTGCTATTCCAAGCGTCGTCATAGCTCATTCCGCTCGCGATCCGGTGGTGCGGCGTTTCCATTTGGCGAAAGTAATTTTTCAAGTAAGGGAGGTGATCCAGTCCCAAACACTTGGCGTGACTGTAGATAAAGAGCATAGCGGCAGCCACAACTAACATTGTGATCTCCCAAATGATGGTGAAGATCGCCAGTGTCTTGACGAAATGCATTAAACTTCGGTGGTGTATCAGGCCATGCAAGTGAAACCTGTTTTCCAAGACTGCAAATACTTCAAAACGTGACGTCTTTGGCGTGCAGACCATGAAAACGTCTTAGACACAGCCCTGTCACTGCATGACGATGCCGGACATCCGCACCAGCTCACGACCAGCACCGCTTGTGTTGTGGCGTGAGTACCATGCATAATCACCTCAACAAACACGGCGCTAGACCAAGTTCATGAGAACGCCTTGCCTCGCAACGAAAAAAAAAACTTAGTTTGGGCTGCCGGTTGGCAGGGCGCGGCCTGACGGGTGCCCGGAAGGTCTCTCCAAGCTTCTCAAGGCTCTGAACAGGCAGGTGAGAATTAATTTACGACATCCAAACCGCTAGTGCCAGTGCTAGCGCTTGCGCCAAGTATCTACTCTTCCGCACTGAGAGTGTATAGATGGGGTTCAACTTCAGGAAGTCATCGTGCCAAATGTTCCAGTAAATCCACGGATCAACATCCGAGTAGTGGATGTCCTCTGCTCGGCGCTGAAACATGCAGCCAAGAGGTGCTGGCTGGCTCTTACAGATTCATTTCCATTCCAAGACGCAATGCTCAAGTGAGTGCCCCACCAGCGTCTCGAGACGTTCTGCGTGATGGGGTCGTCTAGGGAGACATTCGCTGCGTTCAGCAGAGTGCGCCTTGGGTGGAAACCTCGTTTCAAACTGCCAGCAATTCCTGTAGGCGCCAATTCTGCTGAGCGGCAAGGACAGGAAATCCGCGAAACCAGTCGTGAAACAAGCCTCGTCCCCTGTCCTTGTTCAGCCGACAATCAACGAGAATGCTGTTGGACAAGAGCCGGGTTTGCTGGTGAAGCCGTTTCTTCTGATTAGCAACAGGATGGCAGCCGGCAATAGCTGTCAATAGCTCAGGCCAGGCACCGCAGATGTTCATGGGAGAGCCGGAAACAGAGCAGACAAACAAAGTCGAGGCTGGCAATAAGCCTGCTCAATCCAGGCCAAGATGCATCTCCCCGCATGGCGGGACATTTTCGTGCGAAGCGCTCGAATACCAGCAGTCTCCTGACTCCCTCTTGTCCGGCGCCTTCGCCACAAGTGCTTTAGGTGCAAAAGAAATCAAGCGCTGATGAGCGCAAGGCTTTACAACCTTCCGGCCAGTGCTTGACCTGCAAACATGCCATGCGGTTCGTTCTTTAGTTGCTGCAACTCATCAAATGCAGAAGACCCAGGGTGTGTACACAAACCATGAAACCACACTGACCACACCAAGGTTCACAAGCCAGCAGATGCTTCGAATTGTTGATCAGCAAGAACCCAGTGTAGTCTTGGTTGCGTAAAGTATCGCCAGAGGAGAGTTGCACAACATGCCGAAGCTTCAGGAAGAAGCGCTCCACGTCCTCAACCTGTTTTCACTGGCAGGCCATTGGCTTACTGATGCTGGGAATAGAATCCTTATAAGAATGTCACATATTGCTTTCCACTTTCCAGGATCAAGTTACGAAAGTGACTTGGAAGCCGTGATTCCGCCAGATGCAGGTATCCGCTTCTGTGCAGTGCGTCTGCCTGGTCTTTGTGAATGCAGTTCCGAGCATGATCTTCTCGCTAGTCTTGCGGGTGACATCATGCATGTCGTAAATGCCACCTGGGCTGCACATGTAAGCTGGGTGCCACTGCATATACCGCCAAGCCATAGGACCATGGGACATGAACTGCTGCCAAAGCTGCACCCGACGACTGGCTCGGGCACTTCCGGCCAACGACCTTGAACTCTGCAGAAGCACTGCAGTGAATCTGAAAGGATTCCAGGGAGGTGGGGTGGTGTTGCTGATTTTCAGAGAGAGACATAGAGAAGAGACTGAGTGCTTGGAGTCTGGACCCACAATCTGATTCAAATCCAAGGTGCTCTTGCTATAGTTGTGCTTCCCTGTGTCAGTGAAGAAGTATTTGTTCAAGGCATCCTCGAGACAAGGGCTCTGTGTCACAGAACCAGATCACAAGCGCAAGCGCAAGGCAAAAGCGAGAAAAGATATGAAATGGGCACCTTCGAAAACAGCGTGCGAAAACTCCGCAAGTCCTTCTCCGAGACAAGTTCGTGAGGCGCGCAGTAGGGACGAGTCCTTGTTCGATTTACATCATCACAGTCGATGTCCACATCATGGCACTCATAGAAGTTCCTTGCCAAATAGGCAAAGCATGCCACGTCAGCACAACATATACACACACCTGGCCAGCCAAGGTTTCCCGCAGCCGGGGTGACTCGAATTGTCTCCATGAAGGAAGCAAAATCATACCTCTAAATTTTCCCTTTAACCTCCGCAAAGCACGGCCGTGGCCTACTGCTGTCCCTCGCGTTCCTTTTCCTCGTGAAACCTGTGTTTTCCTTGAAATATCTTGAAATGGTTGCTGCTGTTTCGAAAGTCTTCTGTCTTTTCTGTAAGGCTTCCTATAAGAAGGCATCTCCTCGGCCCTGTATGTGCGCTTTTTTAACCGCAGTCATCCATGCTTGGCTACCATGAGGGTTCAGAGATTCCTGGGATTGACGCTGGATCTGGCTCCCTCCCGCTGAGTAGGATTGCGACTTTCATTTCAAAGTTCTAGATTTCCCACCCGTTGGTTTGCAGGCACTGAAAGCTTCAAGGAGGATATACTGCGTTAGGTTTCTGGATGAAGGTCTGCGGTTTTGACCCAGAAGGGGTGTTACCGGGAGCGTGGCTCATAGTTCTGAGGACTGCGGGTTTGAAGGTCACTTGTAGAGGCGTCAAGGTCGAGTGTGGCATGGTGACTTTGAAGAGAAGTGGTCTCAGGCGTACAGATTTTGCTGTGGAGCGTTCTTAGGGTATTGTGAAATGTGAGGGTTCAAGGCTTAAGGTATCCATTACTTGCGTGGCACCAGGAAGAAAACAAGGCAAGTGTCTGGAAGGCTTGGCCGGAGCCACGAGACAAGGATTGCAGAAGCATCCCAAAGTTGTTAACATAGAACTGGGCACATTCAAAGTAAAGAGGGAGGCTGGCTCAAAGCCTTCCTGTGACGAGAGAAATGCTTGCAAGTGGGAAAAAAGACTCAGGTGTGCAAACGAAGACCCAAACAGAAAAATGATCAACATAAGTGGCCACAACCAAGTGCCAGGTTGTCAGGATTGGGAAAGGCTAAGGCAACAAATTCACGCTGGCCTCAAGCACACGTCGATGTCCTTGAGTGGGCTTGCAAGAGCTGGCTGAACTGCACCACTTCTTCCCAGACTGATTCAAACTGATGCGTATGGGTGCAGCCTACACAACCGCCTTACTGCAGCTATCTTACAGTGAAGTTTCGCTCCATCACTCTCTCCGCATGAGAACGCCTGAGATGCACAATATCAATAGGGCGTCCATGTGACACACTTCTCCAGCTCACGTTCAGGGGGATGCAGAACGGTTGTCTGCAAAACGCGCAAACGTACTCAAATTCCACGTCGGAAGGAGAAAATGCGAATTTGTATACTACAGTATTATCCTCTCTGAACTCACTATGCGGCATCGATCAAGCAGGAATAATGCAGGGGAAGCTCACCGCACAAAGACACACCCCTGGATGAACTCCTGCATTCGTTGCAACTGCGTCAATTTGCAATTGGTGACCCCACCGAGTGGCCACACAACTACACAAGTGCCACTGCACCGTCAAACGCCAATGTCAGACTCCATTGACGCATGCAAACCCGCACTGGCAAGAAGAGGGCCGAGCAAAATTGAGCCAAATTGTGGCCATTTGGTGAATGGTATAGGGTTTGGGTTTTCGACACAGGCTTTGCGTTGCAGGCACGGCAAGTTTAGGGTCTAGAGTTTTCACGACTGGGGTCTCAGGGTTTTGGGGCCTCAACACGCACATCCATTTGCAGGCACAGTACGCTCGCTCAACACTTTGGCCGCACTATCCTGAGCCAACATGTCAAGCAGGAAATGCTGCCTCAGTGTTTGCGTGGGTTGTGGTTTTGTGTTGGATGGTTTTGGGGTCTATTCATGGCTTTAGTCCAGGTTCCAGTTCAAGGTTTACATTACGGTGTAAGGTTGAGGATGTCAGGGCTGCAAGATAATTAGTTTGGATTTAAGATACGGGTCTAGGGCCTGAGGTCCTGGTCGTAGTCTCTACCGCTACATGCTGCATGTTAGTGGGATTTCATAATTTTGTGTATGAGGTCGTTGTGTAACACCTTAGAACTTGCCCTCCGCACCTTGCTGTGCAAGCAATTCTGCTGGAGTGTGAGGTCTACCAGTAGCGCCCAGGGCCTCAGGCATGGTATAGTACGGAAGACTTTTAAGGGTAGGGCACGAAAGGTTTTCTGTAGATTCAAAGGCTCAGCAACTGACGGGGTTGTTGAAATCAGGTATGCAAGTCTGTGGGGGAGGGGGGGGGGGCAGGAAGGGTGTTTGAGGGCTTTGGTTGGTTGAGGTGCTATTGATGCCTGGGTTTCTGGCGCAGTTCTGGGCAGTTCAGATAGTTCAGGTTTAGAATTTGAAGTCAACATCATCCTCGCGCCTGGCGGCCTTTGGGGCTCAGTCAGCAGCTCAAGGCACTGCACGCTCTGGGCGGTAGAAAGTTGAGGTCTGACTGGACACTTCTTCAGACTCAGACGAGGGTTGAAGGAGCATTAGATTCCATCAGGCTCTATTCACCCACTTTCCTCGAAACAAGTTCGACTGCACTTGGCTCTCCAAAACTGGCTGAATTTGCTAGAGATGTTGTCCCATAATTTGAGCTGGTTGGTGCCATGCTGTGTCATGCATGTTGCTTCAAAAGTTGGCAAACGACGAACACTGTTCGTCATGCGGCTCATTTTCTAGGGATTCCGTGCACATGTTTTCCTTGGATAGGATAGTTGCTTGCTTGCTCGCTGCCTTGCTGGCTTGCTTGCCCGCCAGCTTGCGCAGCGGAACCAACACCAAACAGGAGGAAAACATGCAAGGAGGTAAAGATACAGACTTTAAAACCAAGTGCTATCATAAGGGTACACCTACTTAAGCTCCTACGATTATCCCCTCTCTCTTCCGCTACAACAACCACCGCAAGCACCACCTGCAACAACGGACAAACACTACAACTTCTGCCGCGACCGTGGCCACCACCTCCTCCGCCGAAGGCCACCACCACACCCCTTTGTAAAGAGAATGAGGTGGGAGTACTTGCGTGTTGCGAGGAGGCAGTGTAACATAATGTAACAAATGACATTGGGGATCATCGCCAATGCAGTGCGTTGATGACACGGGCTGGGAGCAGCAAGCTGCATCAGCCAGTCACAGCATTGAGCTATTAGATGGCGTCGACGAATCACGTTTGTCACTTTTATGACATGGGTGATACACTCATGTGCTTCACATAGGGCCTCTAACTTAATGCTTTTGACTTGTGTGTTTTTGAGAATGTCAAGTGGGCCATAGGTCTCGCCGGCCGATTCAGGCAAACTTCCCCCTCATAGCAACAAAATGGCTGCAAGCTTGCACACAAAGCCAATGGCCTCTGCGGGAAGGACATCTCTCGGATTATGACAGGGCAGTGGAGAGTTTCCTGCTTGAGGAACTTCATATTCCCGCAAACCCAGACGATGCCACCAATCGTAGCCTGTCGGCTTGGCTAAGCATCAGATGGCAGCCATAACCTACATCCTGCCAAACTGATTATCATAATCCTAATGCTACAAGAAAGATGTAAGCAAGATTTTGCCCATCAAGCTGCGAGCATCTGCATCAGCTTCATAGGCACCTTGGCGTGAGCACGGGCTTTGCTAGGTCACACATCCCAAGGAATGACGGAATGACTTGCTAGTCCCCCCCCCCGAGACAACCAAGAGCCTGCGATCGGGCGTCTATGCTTGAACAAGCTCAGCAGGTCTGTGCAAGCAGGACTGCCTAATGCCCTGATAAATTTCTAGCTCCCAGGAGTGAACAATTTCAACGCATACCCTGACGCATGTGCCGAACTAAGTGATAAACCATTCCATTCGAAATTCGAATCCATTCGAAACATAGACCTGGACTCTTCATTAGATGTCTCGCAGCGCAGTTGCACTTCATGAAGGGGCTGCCCTCATTGCATCATTGTATGATCGCCTAGGGCCTGTGGTGCCACGGCCTAGCCTCTTGTTGCAGAGCATATCCACCCACCCTGAATGACACATGCGTGCTCATATGCGGGCTCCGGCACCTGAAGCGGAGGGGCGTAGATCCGGACCACCTGCTTCGATGTGTAAACCTCCCACCACCTGACGTTGTGCAAGCGACGTCTAAGTTGCTGAGCCATCAAAGCGGTGCGAAACCGAGCCAAGGCTAGCCTGGCTGCTCTTCCTCCAAGCGTCGATCGCAAGGTTCCTGACGAAACGGCAAAAAAACACTTGATCGCCGCGATTTCCTTGTACAATCACCACAGCCTCCAAAATGTCCAGTCTGCATTGGACACATACTTGGCTCACAACATGCCCACCCAAGAATTTGCAGAGGTCTCATTGAATGTTCCAAGACAACGAGCCTGTGACTGAATCGCAGATTCGGTCCAGCCTGGACCAGTGCGACCTGGAGATCGAGCACCATTCATTCGCGCATTATTTGGTTTATGCAGGTCTGACGGAGAGAAGCACAAAACAAGGAACTGCAGCAAGTTGGCAAATCCAGGCCTGCTGTTGATGGCAAGGGCAGCCGATCGTTGCATACCAGCCTCGGCCTCGCAGAATCTCGCAGAATGTCGCAGAATGCAGATGTAGAAATGTGTAAGTGTAAGATGATGTAGACACCGAATGATGACTGTGGTTACCTGGTCTCTCCGTAGTGAGCTGAGCTCTTCGATTTGCTTATGATGCCCATGCTCTTCGAGTATGTGACCAACTGCAAGGAGTTCAACAGCAAATCTGGCACCCAGACATTTACATCGCCAGTGGACACGTTGCAAAATTGGCTGCATCTGGTCCTCTGAATGCCATTTAGCATCGTCTGGCTCCATATTTGGCGTTGCCGCGCTGGCGCTATGGTCGAAGAGCACTTTTGCAAGCATACGTGGTTGTTGTGCCATGAATACTTCATGAACGGATCTTGGCATGCTGGACGGAATTGGCTGTGGTGGGAGGCTACGCAACAAATCCTTAAATCGAGTGTGCTGGTTGGACTCGACTGTCAACAGGATTGGCTTGGCAGGGCAACAAACAGGGACCGTAGACACACTCGGCTTGACCTTGTGTTCGCTCAAAGCGGGGCGCCTCATGTTCTCTCGAAGCTCCCTCTTCCTCTTTGTACTCGAGGACTTCATCAAGATCATCCAGATCGATGTCACATCCCAAAAAATCGCCCATGGCTCTGCAGGACAGTAAGTCCAACGGACTCAACACTATAAGCCTTATTATAGTATAAGGCTGCTAAGAGATGCATGTAACGATTCTGACAGGAGCCTTAACCTTCCTATTCTTGTTTGCACCGTTGCATTTTATCCCTGATAAACTTAAAGTCCACTCCTGCAACCTGCAACTGTCGATGGCTACATGCATGCCGACGAAATGGAACCAGCGTGGCTTGGCAACAGGAATCACACATGCACTGCGCAAGTCAGAAATCTGGTGACACAGTCTCCTTCACTGTCTCACCCGGTGCAAATGTGACCTAGGCTGTCGAAGAGTGCCTTCCTCCAAAGCTGCTTGCAACATCACGTTCCAATCGCACAAAAGTAACCCATGTAACGCAAGCCAGGGGTTCCTACAAATCTCTCTGCAGCGGAGACTCTGACTCATGCAGCCAAAACATACATACAAGCTAGGGGTAGCGTTATCTTCCAAACCAGGCACAGTTTCGTCCACCGGCTTGAAATCCGAGTTTGCCTTTGCAGTACCTTCGCGTGAGGTGACCTCAGAAGCAAACGCAGTTTGCCGGAGTGGTTGATGAAGGCCAGCAGCTGACGTGCTTACTCTGATAGGTCAAATTCATTCTTGCAGCGTAGTTCGTGCTGCTAAGCTTGCTGTCCTGTACGTCGCGTGTTTGGTTCTGCTCATTCTTGCATTTGTTGGCTTGTGCTCTCGTCCACCAGCAGACAAATGAACAAAAAAATCGCGAAAGCTGTGAAATGACCATGGAACGGCTACAGGGCGTCTGGACCTTCGACGTGCCTCCAGCTTTCTCCCCTTTTCACTTGTCACAAGACCCCCATCGCGTCGCAGGACACTTTGTGTGTAGCGGAATGTAAGCGGAAGTTGTGGAAGCATCCCAGGCGTCCAGCAACTCTGCCACCGCCCACCTTTTTGACAACATTCGCCGTTGCTACAGCATCTTGGCGATAAGCCATGATGGGCTCTATGCCATTTATGCCCCACACCCGGCTGGTCCTGGTTCCTGCGAAAATTGCATGCCGAGTGCTTACTCTACCACTCTACGGATCCACGGTGATTCTACAACAAACTCAACGCAACATTCTGCCAGCCACGAGCCGGGAATTCACTCTCTTGCTATGCTTAATGACCTGCTTGACAACAGAAGGCTCTGCTTGAAGTCATGTTGCCTGTACAGTCACTTCCCGGTCAGGAAGGCCACAGCGCATAAGCTGCAGCTTGGCCATGTGGCAAGACCTGGGTCAAACACTTATTCATGGAACTGATCAGCCAAGCAGACGCCAGCTTTTGCAAGGAAGTTTCCGGACTGCAACCCACAGCTTTCTCCTTATGAACGACCGAGCTGCTCTAGAAAGGCATATCGGTCGGTCGCAAATCCAACCTCCACCTTGGTACAAGCAGCTGGGTGAAGCCCAGCAGTTGCACAGAAAAAATCGGCGATAATCCTGAAGAGCGCACATCAATACCAACGTAACCCACGCGCCCTCAACACTCCACTCCGAGCACACAGCCCCAAAAAAAGCAAGGGTTCATGGATGGTGCTTGACTTCCCTTGGCTCGAAGAAGCTGTCATTGTTGCTTCCACACGGGGCTTGTCTGCCCCCTGCTTTAGCACAAAGTTCCTGGACATGCAAATCCATCAAGGCCAAAGGCCTACGGTGTTTGCACCTAAGGCCCAGGGCCCAGGGTCAGGCACGTGTTCGCGCTGTATTCCTTTCCCAGGACGCCCCACTTCCGTGTGTTGAGGTCAAGGGTGCTTGTTTGTCGGAGGTTTTGTTTGGGGATGTTTGGGGGCCCAGGCTGCTTACTTGCGGGATGCAGCCTCCCCCAAATCTTGGGCCTTGTCCCTTCTCAGCCCTCAAGGCCCACGCTGGCTTCCCAGAAATCTCCTCTTCTTGAGCCAGTCTTCTCCAGCAGTCCATTGAGTCCAAAGCCACCCGTATCACCGTCCCGGCGTCCCCGCCGCCCAGGCCGAGGCGGCACTTACACCAGCGGTTCAATCAAGTCTCAACAACTGCTTGCGTTAGAGCTGCAAGTTTGCCTTTGCTCAACTCATCTGCCGTGTTGTGCGGTGCCGTCACGAAATTCACCGGCACAGAATGAGCACCAAAGTCAGCTTTTTTGCCTCTGGCTGGAAAGGTCTGAGCGCTCGTACAAGCCGAAACTTACCCGCCTCCCACGATGCCCTCCATGGCAGCGTGCCGGTAGAAGGCGCCTGTAAGACAAGGAATGTCAAGTTGAAGAACGAAGAGCACACCGGCAGAAATGTTGAGTGCACAAACAGCAGGAGCAAACATACTCTGCGATGAGCACGGGCTTGGTCTCAAGGACTTGCTTAAACCCAACCCGCCGCTGCTACGAACACTTACTAGGCACCAGCCACGCCCAAAATCGCTCTGCACTGTAGCAGCCAGACAAGCGTCGAGAGGGCTTTCCAATGTACATGTGCTGTATCACCCGAACCAACTGGTCATCCTTGGTTGCAAGAACTGACCTTGCAGCCCACATTGGGCAATGCAGCATCCCCAGCACCCTCAAAAGGCTAGCATCTGAAATCTTGTGGTTGTACTCCTCCCGAATACTCTGCTCTATCTCTGCCAGCCTTGGCGTTTCCACTGGCATCAAGTCATATCAAACCAACGAGGTTGTCATGTGCTGCACAGCTAAACAATATAGTCCAAATCAAGATTGATGCTGCAAGTCACTCCTCCTTCGTAACATCTGACGGAATGGCTCCTTGTGTTCACATGCTGGCCGTGAGAGCCGCTTGTGGTTTCAGGCAAGCTCCTTCAAACTGACAATGAATACAAGCTACAAGCTGACTGCTTGCAGAGTGTCCGTGGAAATTCTCATTCTGGTGGTTGTCGTCATCACCACCAGCAGTGAACCAGCCCTGCTACAGACTTACTATTGACAGTTTGCGTTGAAGCGCAGTGCACCAATGGCAAGGTGGTGGAAGAAAAGTGGAAGAGAGGGACATGCCAAAGACTGCAATTGTAGTGTCGTAGCCTTATCCGCAGCAAATGCAATTGCCAACAGCACCTCAGTGACAACAGTTCAAATACTGGTTCTAAGGTTCTAGAATCTCGTAAGCCTGGCATGCTCCCCACTGCCTTGCAACAACTAGGTAGAATCAGAAGCCAAGAAGCAGGGAAGAGCAAGAAGGTCACCTAAGAAGGCAAACAGGTCAACGCAAGTTTTTCTGCCTAATTCATCCAACATCTGATATCGGCAAGGCTTTGAGAATGTACTGCAGCCAAGCATCTACAGCTTCCCAAAGCTCGCAGATATCAGGCGAGATTACCATAAGAATCAACAAAAGCCACACCTTAGCGCGACAGCGGTAAAAACGGACTCGCGGGCAAGCGTTCTTCTAAGCTAACACCAGAAACACGCAATCAAGCAGTTCCATCCCACAAATTGATAAATTGCAGGTGACCCAGTGTCAACCTCGCATGCTGCACATGTCTCTTCAGAAGAAGTTGCATAAGCCAAAATGGAGAAGGTTGCCTTGGCTGGTAATACAACTGGAGCTGCGAAGCAGGGGGGGGGGGGTACAGAATGAGAGCGTGCGCGAGGAAGAGAGAGAGAGAGAGAGATAGAGAAAAAACAGCAGTGACTCTCGAAAGCAAGCATTACGGCATCCACAGCAATCTGAACGTGTGCGAGAACACTGGCAAGTCAAGCAAATACTGCGCGAGACTGTTAGTTTCGCAGCAACCCTTTGACTCAACATCTGCTAGGCGGCAGTGACGCAATACACCTGTGTGTCCTTGATGTACCGCACCTGCTCAAGCCCACTTTGCTGACGCTTGCCTCCTACCCTCTGCTGCTGGGCAACTGGCCGCAAGCAAATTCAGCTTGCCTCTCCATCTGGAATTGCACATACACAAACTGCACTAATGACGAGGAGATTGAAGGCTGCACTGCCTGCAAGAAACTGGCGACAAATGGGACAACTTTGCGAAGCCAGACACACAGCCACAGGGCCTACTACTGTGCCAGAGCCCAAATCTCCAATGTACATTTCGTTGCTCATTATCTCCTCGGCATGGGTACATCTGAACAATCTGGTTCAAACGAGTGCTATTCGCGACGAGTGTCAATGACACTGAGGAGGATCTCTGGTGCGCTAGAGCCAAGGGCCATGAGCCTCAGGAACTTCAAATACGACGAGACCCAACTTGACAGCGACGAGAAAAGGCAACAGGAGACGGCTGGTTCCTGCTTGGCTTGCAGGTAGGGCACGTCAAGTTGGCCATCGTGTCGTTCCAGACCGTCTGTGTGACCTGCCCACTCTCCCTCATGAATCTTGACTGCGTACCAACTGCCATGATGGATATGTATGATGGCGAGATTTTGCGTGGCGCAAACAGCCCATCCATCGATGCTGTCACGAAGAAAGTTGCTGGCAAGCTAGGAACCAGGCAATCTTCCCAGTCGACTTGAGTTTCACCCTTTTCTTCTGTGAAGTTATCCTACAAACGCCAAGGCAGTCAACAGTTGTTAAGATGTAATGGAAGCAGGAAGAAAGTCCTCTCGATAGCATTCATAAAAACGTCGGAGACCACCGCCACCCCGAGGAAGCAATAGAAAAGGCCGAGCACATAGAGGAACTTAGAAAATTGATAATGCAGCTGGCAGGTGACAGCTCAGGTGGTTGCAGCATGTGCTACAGCTGCAGGCTTAGGCTTGCACTATTCGCAGCCCGTTAGGCCAATTCTTCTCATCCTCGCCGAAGGCTGGGAGCCACATGTAATCCCTGCCAGGCAACGTGCGTCAGTGCTTGCGCACAGCACACGGTGAGGAAAGAGAGTTGTTGGTGGCGCTTTGCTGGTACAAATGACCTTGGAGAGCTTTTGGGTGGGATCAAATGCTTGCCGAGCCACGTTTCACAGCGAAATGACATGGTCTTTACCTGACAATGCATTGCTGCGCACACACACACAGCCAGCTCGCGGATTCAACGTCAACCTTGCCTGAAGAGGCACCTCTCTGCCGGAATAGTCTCAACGTCTTCTACTTGCGGTACTTTGACTGGCCCTCTGGGCCCCTCCGGGGCAAAGGGTCGGCTCTATGCAGCTTGGGCCATGAACAGCTTTGCAACTAGGACATGGAGAATCGTAGGGAACATGCTCCACTCTTTTGCTTGGCGTATCACGTCAGCGAGCGAATTGCAATGAAGCTTTTTGACTGCAGGGGGATGCGCAAGGTGATGCTGCACTCAAGCCGCCGCGCAGCCTCATCCGCATCTATTCGCGTAGGATGTCATACGACGACATTAGAGCACTGGATATGCATGTGGTTTGTAGCAACCCGCTTGCCACAACTGATGCGATAAAAAGGCTAAAATCATCAACATCCAGACTGAGACTGCCACTACATGTACAGCTCAAAGTCGATCTTGTCCCAGCGGTGCCAACACTGCTCCTTGCGCCCAGGCAAGCCGCAAAAAGCAGCCTGGCTACTATGCGGGCTCACCCTGTGCTCACAAGGCCTGTCCTGTGGCTTGTTTTTCTCGTCGCACTGACGAAACTCTGCGGGTCGCTCATCGGAGAAGCAGCCCTGACTGCGGGCAGGGACTCATCATTCCCTTTGGAAAAGCATGTTAGAAATCCCTTGCATGCGTGGTAAGCAGAAAGGGGTGTGTCCAGCATGAACACGCTCTTTTGCAAGCGTGCTTTGGGGCATGCAAAGCGTTGGTGGGCGGCGGCTTGCTTGACCGTATGGAATTTACATGATGCTAGCAGCTGATTTGCTTGTTGGAACGACTCGCTGCGCAAAGACCACTTTCTTGTCTGTTCTTGTTCCTGCTTTTTCTGTATGAAACTGCCTTCCAGTTGACCAGAACGACGGGCTCCATCTTGCCACAGAAAGCAACAACAGCAATAAAGCTGAAAGAAGGTGATTTTGCCGTCGACCTTAACCTGCAAATGTTTCCCTACAACGGAACAATGGCAAATCGCTCGTTCAACAGAGAGTCAGCCATGCAAAGCGAGAAGCATCTGCCGAAGCAAAGCAGCCTGCATCATCCACCCCTGCATAGTGACCGAATCGAACGGGCCATTGATCTCGTCAGGGTTGTGGCCCCAACGAAACCTAGGCAAAGTAAGCCATGGCCTAGGGCTGCTTCATGCTGAGGTCACCAACAAATTCAAGAAAAGACAGAACCTGATACCTACTGTGCACAGTGTACAGTGTACAGCAATGATGAGGCGGCCGCTGCCACAGCAGGGATCCAGAAGAAGGAGGACCTCCACATGGACCCCTCGATGTCCAGGTTCCGTTCGACACATCTTTCAAGCTTGTGGCAAGCCACCTCCTGAGCTGGCTCCGACGACCTCCACAGCTTCCACAGCTGGGGCATCGTTTGCTCCTGACTTTTGCACCCACACAACAATTGGCCTGGCTCCCTTGGCAGCATGTCCCAACACGTGTCACTTGCAAGCCTGTAGCCGAGGCATGCCGAGGCCTTGACCCGCTTTAAAACGTTTGTTGGTAAACTGCACCTGGCCACCGAGCAGTGTCAGCGAAAAGCGCATGCGCCACCCCTGCCTCGGGCGTGCTGGCTGGGCTGGGCCTCTTATCGCCAGCACTCGCCTCCGCCTCTGTATGAGGCGAAGCAGTGAATCACCTCCTACAGTACGTCCCAAGACGACTGGATAGCGGGACTCCAACCCTCAAATCCTTTTGTGGATCAGCCAACTTCTAGCCATGCCTAGTGCAGCCTGCTGTCAGGTGGCCGGGCAAGTCAACGGCAACATTCTGATCTTGCATTCATCCCCATGACTCTCCTACATATCCCACTTCAGAACAAGCTGGCGATTACAGTATAGGGTCTGTGTAGAAAAGATGCAATGGATCAGGATCTGCGCCTGCTTGGGCGTCTCTACCGGCTCTTCGCCGGTCAGGTTTTCCCCTTTTCGCTGTCGCACATCAATCGCGAGCAGCTCACGGGCTGAGTCCTCTGATCGACCATACCATGCGAACTGGGTGACTGAGAGAGGACGCGAGATTGGCACGAAACCGTGCTCAAACACTTGCTGACAAGACGCGTAAACTAGCACACCGCGTTCAAGGAGGCGATCACAGAGGTCAGTGAGGCGACTAATTTTCCTCAGCCAGCTGATGGCTCTTGCTTGCGTGCTGTGGGAAAGAGTGGCGACTGAACAAAATATCTGGCTAGGCTCGCCCGTCGTGCAGCCTCTTCGTCATCCACTGTTGCAGCCTTGCGCCTGTGTCCCGGCCGAGGAGGGCCATCCGCAGGAACTTCCTACATGGGACGGAACGCGTCTACTCAACATCTGAGGCAATCAGCAATGCCCAGGGCTCCTCAGGAAGTTTTGGCATGGCCTTCTCGCGGACGTCCCGAGTCTCCTACACATCCAGCATAAATACTCCGTTGACACTGCGCACGTATGTGTGTTCATATTCCGCTCACGTCAATTCCACATCTGTTGACTTCTATGAGTTGCTCGTGCATGAATAGCGCGCTGAACTCTGCATGTCGTAAAGATTGCGCGAAGCTTGCATACTTGTGTTCAATGCTCAACCATCTCAACTGAATGCTTGAATATGCTTGAATCTTGCCTCGGAGTTCAGGTTGACGATGGCTGCCGCCTCACAGCAGAACAGTCTGAATCGCAGTGCGGCCATTTACAGCCTCGCTGGGTTCGGCACCTCGGGACCCTGCTCGGGCACCAACGCACGCGCGATGCTGCGAGACATCTTCATTTCTGCAGCGAAGGCCTGGGACCACGGCCACACACGCGACAAAACGCAGAACCACTAAAACAAGCAGAACATAGCCTTGAAAGCATAGCTTTCGAAAGCCTTGAAAGCCTTGGCACCTGGCCTTGGCAGCCTCCTCTGCCGCTTTCTCGTCGGCTGCAGCACGTGCTGCGGCTTCGGCCACTGCAGCAGGGTTAGTGACACTCGACCTCAGCATGAAAGCAAAACCCATCTCCTGCAGCTCTTCAGCATTCCTCCGGGCACCGGGGCTTTTCTGCGGCGGCCTTCGCTGACTCTGCAGCGGCAGCACGCTCTGCAGCCACAGCAGCCGCAGCTGCGGCACGTGCCGCCTCTGCTTTGGCCAGCTCCGTCTCCACCTGAACAATGCGAACATGTGGCCGCCATCTACACCAGGACGCAGTGCAGAGCATGTGCTTTACTACCTTCCTGAGCTACCAGAATTGGAAAAGATGCACAAAGCCTTCAAACCAAGAAAAGAAGCTTGCGGCAAGAAAAGGCGGACAGCTACCATCATGCACTCCAACATAGAAGGATCCCACTCTCAAGAAAGCGGGTGCATCCTTTTCGGGTTACTCTTTTAGAGCAACGAAGATGACAGTTACACAGAAACAACGGCAGAAGCAGTCGCATGGAAGCTAAATGGCCTTCCCGTTTTCCTCTTCAGTGGAGGATGTCTTCTCCGTTGCCTGCTGAGGCATGAGCATACAAAGCTCGTAATAATCCCGAGCATCCAAATGCCCCAAGCTTTCGCAGCCTCGGGTACCTCAGCCACTGCAGCTGGCACAGCTGTGTCATGGCTTGGAGCCGGCGCCTGCGCAGGTTAAACACTGACACTGGTTACTGCCACTTTGAACTCTCATTCAGAACTTTTCTTCTACTGAACAATAACAAACGAGGGATCTTCCAAAAACTCAAGTACAAGGCCTGCTCCTCTTGAGGCAGGTGTGCCGCTGATGGCGCATCCGAGGCGCTTGGCTCCTGCTGCCATCTAAGGGCTCAGACATGCTTTCCTGACATTACACCTTACATTGATGCATCGTCACGGAAGATGCACGTGGAAAAAATGAAAGCTAAGCTTAAACAGCATCGCCATCCTCATACCCCCATTCGTTGAATTTCTTTCTCTTTGGCTTCCTTGGATGCAATCCTATGAAACCGGTGCCGGGAAGTTTGCAGTCAGAAGACGCAGCTAACTGCAAATGGCTTACCAGGCCGGCGACGTTGGGGTTAGGAAAATCTGAACCAAAAGCACTACAGAAGAGGAGTACATCCTGAATGTGTTTCGATGCTGATTACTCCGTTGGCCAAGTAACATATCGCCATCTTTTGCAGCAGGAGTTGAAGCTGATGTTGCCTCTGCACGTGCCTTCCGCATCCGTGCCTGCGATGCAGCTTTCAAAACTGCAGTAGCTCATTGCTAGTGGACTTACGTAAGAGAACCCATGACTGAGGCACCGGCGCGGGTCTTCAGGACAGGCTCACGGCCTCTTGCCTCGCCGCGGCGCACTCGCGCCAGAGCCATGGCCTGCAAGCATTCTGCAAACTGCACTTCATTCCTTTGATGTTCACCGTTCAAACCTGCAGAAAAGGCCCAGGCAGGGCTTTCCAGGGGTTGAAGGAACGACACCAACTCCTCCAACCTGACACTCGAAATCCCATGTCTTGCCACAAGCGTTCAAGTGCTGTCGAGGCACATGTCAATGATGGTGGCTTCGTCTTTTTCGTCCTCCTGGGCTTCCTCTTCAGCTGACTTCTTGGTTCCTTCCGTGGCCTCACAGAAGAGTCTCGAGGGAGGAATCTCCGAGCTTTGCTGACTTGACCGTCAAAGGTGAAACCCACTGTTTGCGTGCCTTTTCTTTCTCTGCACCTTCTGCATCCTCTTTGTCCTCGTCCTCCTCCATGTGCACAGCAAGCGACATGCCAAACACACCCTAAACTCTCTGCGCTCCCCATGGAGTTGCATCGGGCCCTTTGCAATTTGATGCCAAACATTTTACTGTGCGGTCAGCATTCTCCAGCTGATACTTTGCCCATCGGTGAATGCTGTGTGGATGTGATGCAAGCGCGGCTATGATTGCCCCGTGCATGCAAACAAATCTGAACCACTGCTTCAAGAGTGGCCAGCGTCGCAGTCTTGAGGCCGCAGTTGCCAAGGATAGATCTTGGCGGAGCCGCTGATTCTGACCACTGCTGACGACCTTCGGACCTGCAGCTCGCGAGGGGATAGTGAAAGCTTTCAAGTCCGAATACCCAAGTAGGGATGATCTGAGCACTGCACCAACAAAGCAAGGTCGCCATGCAGCACAGACTGCATATCGCATCCAGGGTGTGCTCGGAAGCTCACGTGTTCAACAATTGGCAAAGAAGCCGGCAGGTGTGTCGCGGTCTTATCAGTAGAGCTTGTCTGCTTTCGAAAAACGGGAGTCGAGGGCACTCCCTCTCTGGCACATGTCCTTGAGAAAGCACAATGTTTTTGGACATGGACTTCAGCGTTACAGCTTAGACCCGATTGAAAGCACCAGCAAGACCAAGGCACCTCGAAAGAGGTAGCACCCTGCTCATCTGCTTAGCAGTTTCAAAGGCTTCAGGGTCCGAAAGCCAGCTTCTCATCCAGCACTTTCCCGAAATGACCAGGTTCACAACCTTTGCATGAACAGCTTGGTTCACAGCCCACACAACGAACGCAAACTCAGCTCCTTGCACACCAGCAGAATGTCGGAGGCTACCAAGGGCTCAGCTTGTAGCGACGTGTGACTTCTAAGTTATCGCAAGGTTCGCTACCGTCCAACATGTTGGCTCAGGAGCATCCATGCATCCGTTGGTGGCATACCAGGCAGAAACTGGGCGCCAACAAAGCCAACCTGGATCATGTTGTGCAAAGCCCAACAACCTTGCTTATTTGACTTTTGACCCAATTTCTTCCATAACTTCAGCAAGAAAAATCCGTGCGCTTTCGCAGCCTGCATGGGCAGGATACTGCGGGCGGGCAGGTGCAAGAAGAGATGCCAAATGTATGAAGACATCATCGGAAAGCCTGCAGACTGCAAGCCGCAAGCCAAATCTTTCTGCAGTCAGACCACGGGCTGATTACACTTCCGTTGCACACATGCTTTCCCCACCTGAACGCACACCAGTGACTGTGCTTTTAGCTTCCCCGCACCTAGCTAAAGCATCTCAACAAACTGTTTGTCCCAAGGGCTGTCTGAAGACCTCCGTCTGGGACAGAAGGAACAGTTGGGCCAGGTCATTACCAGAGCCCTCCCAGAAGAACGACATGCTGGATATGCGTGTGTGAAACTCTTTTCAGTGCTTGAAGCATCACACGTTTGAAGCCTCACTTCATGTTGTTCAATGTTGGGCTTTCCTGCAGCAAATGCTTGGATCCTGCTGGTCAACACGCTTTGGGCCAAAGGGCTGCATGTCGCCTCATCAGCAAAGCTAGGGTGCAACTTAATGCTCTGATCGTCCTCCTCTTCGCCTTCAGAGTCCGGTCCCAAGTTCTTTGCCATTGCGGATATGCGATTTGCCGCTGTATCCTGGGCCCAGCAGGCAACCAGCAGACAAGTAGGGAAAACCACGCACCTTCCAAGACGCCAGCGGTTTTGGTTCCAAATTTGGCTTCTGGGGTAGGCTCGGAGATTATTTGGCTTGACCAGCAAGACGCCGAACCAATCTGACAGTTCAGCCCCTTTCCGCTAAGTGCCCAACCAATGCCTTATTCTGTTTGTCTGCCTGAGCACTGTCGCAACGGCCTGTGCAGGTAAGCATGGATCACAGGTCCCGGGCTGCTTTGAAGGTTGCCGTGCGCTCAGCCTCACAGAGTCCAGTTGCTTTTGGCCCTTCAGCATTCAATGCCTTTTCACATTTTACGAACCACTGCGTCTATGTAGTGCTGCCCAGCCTGGTCCACAGTGTCTAGCCATGCGTCAGTCACCTTCTTTTCTTCATCCTTGATGCCATCAAGAGGCTCCAAATGTCAGACACTTAGCATGTCACGGGCGGCTTTAAGAGTCTCTGCGGACCACGTCTGACTGGGACATCCGTAGACATGTCCAACCCTGCTGGCCATGTTCGCGTTGTTTCTTGCATTTGAGTTTAGCGCTGATTTTGCCATCATTGTGCATGTCTGGTTTGTTCCTGTTGTTTCTGCATATCTTCGTTTTGAGTTTGCAGTTTCCTTGTGGTTCAGTTTTACATTGTTGCGCCTCTCTTTATCCTCCTTGCTCGGAGCTGAGCCTTTCCGAAAGGGTGGGTTTGGGTATGGCAAGGCCAGGCACTTCCCGTCGCAATCCATCACTAGGTTGGGGTATTGGGGGTATTGTTGGAAGTGTACGAGCGTACGAGTTCTTGAAACCTCAGAGACAATCTCGCTGACCTGGGCCTAGCTACTTGTACCCAACAACCTCAAAAGACAAGCATGGAGCATTATGGAGCAAAAGGTAGGCGCGCTTCAACAGGACACTTATACTGCGGTTCTATGCCTTCTATGCTTTGGTAAAGGATGGCGAGGACTAAAAACGGCTTTTCATCCAAAAAATCCTGAGGCTTGGCAACACCTGAAGTCCCTGAAGAAACTGTTCTTAATCATCCCATTGTAGGGGTAATGATTGTTGCAATAGCCGAACCACTCTACCAGCTACCCACGCACGTACAGCGCGGAAGTAGAGCGTGACAATGGAACAACTACATCATGGATGGCAAGCTGAAGCCCAGCCAACACAAGACAAGGCAAGGCAAAATCAAGCAACAAATCTTCAAACACAAAACATTTGTTTGTGTAGCATGTTCAGCGAACGCAAGAAGCATGCAAGGCCAAAATCCAGCAGCTCTCAAAACATACAAAAAAAAAACAAAGTAAAATGTACAACCGAGCAAACACGAAACAAACGTCGCAACATTCCAGCAGCCCAGCGAACACCGACAAAATAACACCTTGTTGGAGGAAACCAGCAGACACAGAAAACACAAAGAACCACACAAATACACAGTGAATGCAAAGCAAATGCAAAACATAACGTAACGTTCTCCGGCCCGAAGGTTCTCATTTCTCATAGCTGGAGCTCCTTGTTGAGAACATAGAAGCCGCTCTCGTCGAAGTGCCCTTCCCTCATCTCCCGGCGCATGTTGAACGGCTCCAAACCTTACGAGCACCCTATCTTCATGTGCGCTGATATGCGCCGACTACTTGCGAGAGCTCCAAGTGGTCTCAAAGAAGTGAGGGCCAAACGTATGCCGTCATCGATACTGTTCAAAGGATCATCCTCATCCACGCCCTCATTCTCTCGAATGTCCTGTCGGCTTTGATCTGCGAAAACATCCAGCTTTTCAGTCAATCTCATTCGCTGAGCATGTTCGCTCGCCTTGAACTGCTTGACACCTTTACGAGCTTGCGCACGCTGCGCTCTGAGAATCTCGAAATTCGACTCGGCTTCGACAGAGCCACCGTCGAGCTCCTGTTCAATGCACGATTGCCATTGCCACCATGGACCATGCGTGAGAAGACAATTCACAATGCTGCCTGGAGCCTCTTTGCAGTGTCCGAACCGACGCCTGCCTCGAGGCCGGGTTTAAAAGCGCCTTCTGGGGAAAGCCATATATTCTGACGGGCGTGGCCACAAGTTTGGACCTGAGATTGGAACAGGTGCGCCGCGCGAACCCTTTCCACGTCCACCTCGTCCACGACCTTTCCCTGTTCCACACACCGACGAAGACTCAGGCAATGCTATCTTTCAGAGGTTTGGGGTTCACTGGCGCTGTGGTGCACTAGTACACTTTGGTTGTAAGCGCTTGGGAACACAATTGGCTGACTCAGGCTGACCCTGGAGCAAACTCGTAGCAGCACACCATCTGCCACCCTGCAAAGCCACGTATGACCTTGGCCATCAAGTCGCTCCCTGTCTTTGGGCGCCATGGCTACAAGTGCTACAGGTTCTAAGGAAGGTAAACAATGTCAGACTGAGTTGTTTGCTTGCTTGCCTTCTGAGCTTTCTCCCTGCGTGCCTGCGGGAGCCTGTCTGTGCAAGGAAATCTTTCAAATGGATGTATATATATATACACATATATCTGAGCACAACCTCAGTCTTGAGAGTGACGCAGGCAGTACTGAGACGATGCTCGGCACACTTTCTAGTACTGTCTCCGTGGGGAGCTGCTTAATGCCATGAGAAGCAAGGTCAAGAGACGCTTGCTTTTCCGCGAGGCGCTCGGGTTCACATTCTGTGGCCGAGCTCAGCATCAATCCTTCAATGGAAAATATGATGACAACCCCCAAGAACCATTACATGGCCTTGCTGCTACACTGCATCCATCATGGCCTAGCAACATGCAGTAAATGTTGTCGGAAAACCTTGGCCTCAGCACTCCTTCAACGGTGCCCGCTAGCTCCCCATAGCAGATGATGGGCTCGCGGAAACCTTTGAGTCAAAGGCAGCGCAAGCAGCGGAGAGCTATGCCGCTGTGTTTTTGTGCGACAAAGATACGCAAAGGCAAGTCTCTCAGTGCGAGGACCTCAAGGCAGCCATTACAACGACAGAGACAATCCACTTCAAGATTCCACAACGACAAACGAATGCAAGCGTTGTTATTCCGAATCCGAACTGCTGCTTTGCCCTGACGTCGTCTTTTTCATGCAAAATCACTCGAATCTGTCTGCGTCTGGCCGGGCTTCAAGTTAGCTTGATCATTGTCAGTCAATGGCATGATACGGAATAGTTCTTAGCCTCTACATTTGCATAATAGGGCGGGCTGAAGGCTTAAGACAAGTAATTGACGAACACATTGATATGCGTGCAAGCAACTCTGGGGGGGTTGGTCAACATTTGGAACGATAAGAAAGTATTCATGAGTTGGAAGCGGTGTGACTCCATCGACCGAACGGCGTGTCTTTTTTTTGGCGCAGCTTCACTGGGGTGGAGGCAGCCACCTGGCAAATCTCATCGCCTTGCTTGTTTGACCTGCTTCCCAACGAACCTGCCACCGTCAGGATGCTGTCCCGATGTCAACCCCTGGGGCAGTTTTGTGTTCGGCAAGATAGTCCACAGTTCGATCTCGCACCTCAGCCGGCTGCTGCGTTGAGGACAAAGGCCCGTCCAGGCTCACCTTCGCTAACTGCAACTGCTGCCGCTGTACCCGCACGCTGGGTAGACCACTTAGGCACCAAGGGAAAGTGCTGAGACCATCTCCTCTTCCTTTATCCCAGGTGGTGGTGTGGAGACTCTACGTCCCTAGCGCTTAGAGCCTCTCCAAGCTGGGTGCTGGGTGCTGGGTCCCTCTTCGCTACGCTTGGCGTCGTTTCTAGGACCACCGACAACTCTTGTCTGCCCAGCTCGGGTGGGCCCCAGGTGTCTTCCACAACAATCCCAGCAGAGAGTGCTCCGTCTTGGCGGCCTGAGGAGCTGGCCTGCTGTCCTAGGCAGGCTCGCACGCAGCGGCTTGCGCGACATGGCTTCGCGAAAGAAGATCTCTCGAAGTTGACCGCATGGTCAGAGATCATGATGGCATTGAGCATCAGCTGACCGATTACTGCTCAAGCCGCTTTCAGAATGGAGAAGCAAGTTCCAGAAAGAAAAACAAACCAATTCTTAGCCGGGGCTCAGCAGCTCCAAGGAGCCCATTGGTAGGCCAGTCCTTGAAGGAAGAAGCTCAGCTAGAAAACACCTTTCCGAGCAAAGCTGTGCCAAGCCTTGCCCTGATCCCAAAAATGGATGATGAGGTGGTCTTCCTGTCCCACCTTGGCTGGATGCATCAAACAGTCATACAAAACAAACGGGACTTGGTATGTTTTCGCTTGAGCTCCTTTGGCCGCCCTGCCCCCCCCCCCCCACGATTTACGAACTTGACAACCTACGTTGCTCGGGATCTCTAAGATTTTCTGGCTAAGCCTGAAATCCCCAAGAATATGCAATCTGTCAGCTGTCGCGGAGAATATCACGGTTTCCATCCTCAGTCACCCAGAACTTGTGGAATCTCAGGCCTGAAGCCACTTCCGACCAACTGAGACGCGGTCCAAGTATGTACACTTTCTGCGTCGGCTGGAACACCAGATCGGACGCAATTTGATGAGCTCGCCTCTGAAGCAACAGAGCTTGGTGAGTTAGGACATTATCTAGAGCTGGCTCATCCCTCTGGCCTTGCCTGTGTCTCCAGAATCTCGGGGAACGTCGTGCACTTCAGCACTGGTTGCACGTCACCACGAAATCTTGTCACCAGCTGCTCTAGGCACAGCTGCAAATGCCTTCAAGCTGCCGTGCTCTTGGCTGCACGAACCTGCAAGTGCTGACGCAGACAAGCCACCGTCTGCTGATTTCCTCCAAGGGAGATGCTGCAAGGAGCCAATCCGCAGCAATAGGTTTGTGATCTGAACTGGCCACTTCCTGCCAAGGAACCCAAAAAATCAACGTAGAGGAGAACTATGCCCAACATTGCCCAACAACAGCTTTGCAAATGCCCTAGAAGACTTTTCCGTCGGAGGGGCTGGCGCAGAGTCGAAGCGCAGAAGCTGCAAGAGCTCTGAGCAGCCCGGCATGCTTCGGTGAAGCACACGGTCACAGTACTGAGCAGCGGCCAGTACGCAACGGGCAGATTCACATGCAAGAAGCAACTGCGGGCTAAACTCAGGCATCAACTGCCAACTCGACACGAGGTGAAGCAAATAAATGACTGACAAGCCATCTTAAGGCTTTTTTGCTGCCATGGCTCTGATGGGATTCGTGCAGTGTCAAAGTTTGAACCGGCCTTCCCTGCAGCTGCAAGCATCACTTCATCACGCCCATGCAGTCCAGCGTTTGAAGCGCGCCTTTCTGCATGCGGTAGGTCGGCTCCCATGTTGGGAGCGCTGCCGAAAAGCCTTGCAGGACTTTGCCCGCAATCATTTCCCGCTGCAGCTGGTCGTGCTTCAGAAGGCCGACAATGTCCTTGCACTGGCACGCTGAAGCACTGCATCTGTAGTGCAGTCTGAACGCAACAGGATTTTGACATCCTTCGGAACAGTTTCAGCATGCGTCTTTCCAGTGGGGGGCTGTGGCGGGCCAGAACCTGGATGATGCTAACATCTTGCGTACGCAGAGCTCAACTCAGCCAGCACTTTCGAACCCGTCCTTCTCCTGGATCAAGCGGAGGATTTCACGAATCTGTGCCTCCTGCACCTGCCGCACTTTGGGCAGCAAACGCTCATGAAGACACACAATCAATTGCAGTGAGTAATTGGCGCATTGTGGATTACACCCCACACACATCTGGAAACCGAAGTTCTGCAAACGCCGAAAATTTTCTCTCTGAACCGCCTGATTTTCGGTTGCCTGCGGCGTTAGTCCCAAGGCAGTTGGCGGTATATCCAGCCGGTAGTTCAGATCACCAAAGAAAAAACCTTCGCAGTCGCTAGCCGTAGTCTTTCTGCAAAGGCAAAGCTTGAAAGACAACCCCTTCCAAATGATTGGACTCGTTGCTTCCCAGATGCTGTGGTGAGTGCATGATGGGGCATCGAGATCTTAGCTGCAAGCTGCGAGATTGCACACGTACCATCTCAACAAATGCATAGCAAGCGATCATATGCGCAGAAGCACATGAAACATGAAATAACCGGGTGAAAGATGCAAAGCTTGAGGCTCCCGGCGCAGCTGAGAAATTCGTGTCCCCCAGAGGATTTCAGACACGTCTGCATTTCGACGCTGGAGGTGATCAGAATGAGCTGCCAAGTGTGCAGCGACGAAGGACAGCCTTTAGCAACTTTAGCATCTGCAAAAAGCGATCATTCCACTACCGTAGGGAACTCATTATCAAAAGCTTCTAAACTTGCATCCACCACCTCTACCGCATGCAGGAATCAGTTCAGCTGGACATCAATTGGTCAGAGCAGGTCACGATGCCCGGCCGACTTCGAACTGCACGAGCAGCCCGCCTGCCAAAGTTTGGGCATTTCAGGGCTTCACACAGGGAACCATTAATTCAACAGACAGGCATTGTTGGTTCAACACTTTGGACTGGAGCCGTCACGACACTTGCTGTGCAACGCATCTCCCTCGAGCCTTTGTTGTGAAACACATGCCCCAATCCGGTGTTCTCTCCGGATTTCTCCTCGCAAGCTCCAACATGCATACCAGTTTACAAGGGTGCGACGTGCTCAAAAGAAATACTGCATCCCGCGGGCAACGCAAGCCCTCGTTTCGGGCTTCCGCTTGTTGTCAAAACATGGTTTGACAAAATGGGCTAGGGCGCAAAGGGCGAAGGCGGAGCAAGCTGAAACCTCACGATGCGGCTATTGCTGGTCTGAGGCTCAATCTTCTTGATTGGAGGAGCAAACCTTGGAGGAACAGGCTGAAAACCTGAAGACCCAGAACAAGAGTAACACGAAAAGCTTCGCTCGAACGACATGTTGCGGCCCTGCAGCAGTTTCCAAGTTCATGGGCCTTTCCCATTTGCTTATAAACACAGATAACACAGCAAGGCAGTCCACCTTCAGAACTTGAGCAGTTAGCCATACAACCGCCTCCGGTGATGCCACGCAGCTTTGAAGCAAAGACCATGAGCGCCATGGCACCTCGAGAGTTGGTGGCGACGATGCCTGCGCGCGTTTCTATTGCCAGGGGAATACTGTACACACATTGCCAGCAGATTGACTCAGGTATGCTGGACTACAAGGCTTCTGCCCTCACTATCTTTCATCTTGGGATGGGGACAGAAGCTTATTCGTTTCGGGCAGGTTGCGGTAGTCTCCTGCCAAATGACGCAGAAGCTCCTCAGTCAACCTCGGGTACTAGCACAGATGTTCTCTCATCCATACAAAAATGAGGTAGTCGCAGGCCAAAGGTGCAATGTTTTTTTGACGTGTTAGGAAATCCAGGCAAGGGGGCGCAGAGAGCCTCTTGATGCCAGGGAACACTGGCCCGTAACAATTCTCTGGCAGGCAATGCAAGTGGGACACCCTAGATCAATCGGCAAATCTGCCAACATGGTCACCTTCATGACGAGGCGCTTGTGATGGTGTCTCGACAAATCGCCCTTGCTGGCGGCCTGGACTTCTGATTTATTCATGTTTATTCCTTATGGTGTTGTCGTGTTGAAGAGGCAATTTCAAGAGCATGGCATCCTGCCTGCTGGACCATGTCTGTGGCTCCCAGGACACCCTCCTCCAAAGACGAGCGCTTGAGAAAAGTTGCCATGGCTCACTGCCCACTGATGGTGCCATATGGTGCCATGAGGTTGACAGGCCTGGATGCCAACAGCGATGATGTCATAGCATCCAGGACTGTCTCCAAGATCTTGCCGTGTAAGAGAAGCAGGGCCTTAGCTGCTGACTGCTGCCGACCCGACGGCAATGCGGACAAACCCAACGAAATGCATGCTCTGATGCCAGATTATGGAACCACACCATCGCGGGCGCAAGCTGGAAAGTGAGGTCTGCGCTTTCTTTTAAGCGGCCCCCGCGAGGAATCCTGGACACGCACACAGCAGGAATCCAATGCATTCGACGGCACACCCTACAGTTGACAAACAAGTTTGCCAAGCATCCACTCATCGCCTTCTAGAGCTACCAGTTCATTGCCTGGCCCCGTACATGCTGGCACATCTCAAGGACTTGATCATGTCTCCGAGAATAAGTTGGACGTCAAAGCCCATGCCATGCCTGCATTCATTGACGCAACTAATAGACGCAGCGGTCGCCGAAGTGCCTCCTGAAAGCGCGCAGGACAAGTCTCAAGCTTTTCAACAACTTCAAGCTAATCTAGATGGTTCTTGCTGCACACAGCTTCGTGGGATACGTGGCGCGTGCAGACGGTCCACTAGCATCTAGCGGCTTGTGATTGGCACCTCCTGCCCAGGGAGGAAGTGGACAAGGGCACCATCCTGGCTGGACTAAGACCAGTTAGAGGCTCCCACACTGTGGCCTACAATGCAGGCACGGCAATCCTCCTCCAGAGTAGTCGCATCATCTGATTCAGTCTCGTTGGTGCAGAACTCCAACAGCCTCTCTACTTCCTCGCAGGAACAACACATGCTCTCTTTTGATTCATGCCATGCTGTCCAGCAAAAGCTGTCACTGCCCACAAACGAGTGCCGAATAAACGGTATTGCCAGATGATCCCAAGCTGCTTGGTCACAGCTTCCTCGGACGACAGCATGAAAACATGAAACTGTCCGCCTTTCCGATCAAGTGTGGAATGCAAGCCTTCATAAGCTTTTTGTGCCCTCACAGTCCTTGAGTACAGCAGCAAAGGCGACCCGACATGCGACTGGACGCCCGACAGGGAGCCCAAGCATGTTCGATTTTCCATGCTGGACTCAACTGGCAGGCCGCTACTTGAGATGCGCAGCATCGCAAGAATCTCAAAGGTAAAAGTTGCAGGCTACTGGAGCTGGTTGCAATCGCCAATGACTACATTTTTTCTGCAGCTCCGCCGCTGATGCCAAACGGTGCACATTTTTGTCTATCGTTCCGCCGAAACTGCGAGGCTGTAGAACTCAAGACTGCTGCGATAGCACCCGTCAGCAAGAAGACACCCGCCTCACATGCTGTGACTCAGACAACATCTTTTGCACATGTACCATCTTACAGTAGCGCGCTGAAGACTGCGCCACGCTAGCCTGGGCATGCCAAGCCTAGCACAACAACTTGACTCACATGTAGCTCTGCTTGGCAGAATGCACCAAAGTTACAAATGTCCAACTGCCACTGCGAACTGCGTGCACTCTTTGATCATCATTATGCGCCGCCAGCAGCATGCCAAGCTGACCAGATAAGCTTTGTGCGAAGAGGACTGTCAGCGCTTGCCTCCCGTCAATGATGGCGGGATCTTTGGCAGCTTTCCAGCGCACAGAAAGCCCAGCCATCTGCAGATTCGTCAAAGATTCAAGGCTGACCAAGCGCACGCTAGGTACAAGTCCCCTCGGAAGACGGACGAAGCATCTTCCTGTCTCTCTCACCTGCTTTGATAGATCTCCTAAGGATCCAGGAGATCAAGATGGAATCAGGCTCAATGAAGCACACCTTGCCAACAACAAGCATGAGCGCAACGTGACCCTTGTCTTCTGTGATTGAAAATTCGAGCCCAAATGCCTGGACACTCAATACTCCATACAAGGTGGAATTTGTGTCTCAAATTTCTGCCGATGCCAGATTTCACAAATCTTTCTGACAGCTGCGTGACTAGCTCACTAGCGCGAAACACGAATGTAGTCTGAAACAAGTCTGCAGCAAAGAGCAGGTCCACTTGCAAATCATTGTCCACTTTTCGCCGCGAAATCTGATGTTCTTCTGTGCGAACCCTGTGCTACAAATTGGGTTTGGTTGCAGTGAATTCAACTTAAGACTGCGAAGTCAAACAACCCATCTAACTGCATGCATGGCAGCAACCACAGCCGGAAACTCGGATCCCTTCAATCATTCGACGAGATCCTGCGCAGAAAGCCTTGGCACAGTGTGTGCATTGCAGGCTTCGCATGTCTGAACCCGACCAGCAAAGCAACAAGGGTTCATTACCCAGTTTGCAATGGTTGTGCCACATCGCCCGAGACAGCACTATAGGACCTGGATAAGCACGTTCGGCTTGCCAGGCCCCTCGCGACAACTCCCATCACGGGGGTGGTCACAAGATGCATGTTGGGTGCCGCTTTGTGTCCCTCAACTTCTTAATCCTAGAGTCCTAGAGCTTTCAACCATCACGGCATCCTCATGCTTAAAAGAGGTCACAAACATCACAGCATTCCATCCGGCATGTAAATTGGCCAGGAAAATGAGCGATGGTTGATCTTCAAGCAACTGGTGGGCCACCAGGGCTCTGGATCTACGTGAAATAAGCAGAAGCAGCGTGCGGCATGGTAATCTTGCGTGTCAGGCCTACATCAATCTTGGACAACCAGCTTATAGACTCCTGGGCCCGGGCACACACGAATTTGACCGCGCCACGGCCGTACAGGATCAGAATAGCAAATCCTGAAGCCGATTCGAGCAGTCATCGGATGCCCAGCTAGCCTCTGAGCGGCTTAGCCGCGAGGAGTTTACAGAATTTGCGGATGGTAAGAAGAGCAATAGCTGGCAAAAGAAGTACTGCTTCAAATTGCACTCCAGGTTTCCAAGGTTCTTCTGACTTGATTGCCTCTCATCCACCCACCATGGCAGTAGCAGCTCAAAGCCCATCCTGCCTGCCCTGTCTCTTCAGCAGGACGTACCAAAAAAGCGCACGAGCAACCCAGCTCTAGTTGCCTTCAAGCAACGAGAATGGGAAAACATACGGAAACCCGTGCCAAATGCACGCAAGCTCCCTTCAAAATTCATACCATGACAGCTCCTTCATGTTGAGCTGCCAGCATGACAGACAAAACCATGCTCTGCGCTAGTCTCACCAGTACCGATACCTTAGCAGGCACAATGCGGGAACCACCCTGCCAGCAAAGTGACTTTAACAAAACACTAGGACCGATAAGTGAATGGTTGCTGCTTGTGCAGAAGCTACCCGAAGTTTCTGCGCACCAAGCAAGCTTCCACTTACTGGAAAGTCTCTGGTAAAATGTCCTTTCATGTCATGTTTCGATGTTCCATCGAACAAACTTATAGGCCAGGGCACCTGCAAGACTTGCCTTCCACCACAGCGTGCCTTGCCATCACGATTCTAAGGCGAACTGCTACGTCAATTACCGCTAAGACTCATGAAGACCGCAAGAAGCTAGAACCAGCTCCAACCAATGAAATGCCAAATCCTGGATGTTTTGATGGAAAGTCATGGTGCAAACCAATGGAAAATTATCCTGCAACCCCCCCACCTTGTGATATGATATGTTATAATACAGCAAATTTCCTGTCAACTACAATGATCTGAGTGCAGACTATAGCACCGCGTCAAGGGATTGAACAGCTCTCCAGCATTGCAGTAAACGTCACACTCCAGACGGCACGTGGTACGTATGCCTGGACACGATACGAACTTAGGCTGCTCCATTCTCTTGACATTGCTCATTGCTGGCACCTGCCTAGTGGGCCTGTCACATCAGCAGCACCCTCCAGCTGGATGGTTAGCTTGAGGTCGTGCGAAATGACATCCGCAGTGAGCTCCTGCCAATGCCGGGAAGATGCTAAGCCGGCTGGCAAATGGCCGTCCTTGAAAAGCGTCTGGAGCCCTGCATGCTGCCTACATGCATAAGTTGTGTGCACAAAACACCTGAAACATTGCCGCATCGAGCTTGACGGTCACAGCAGCCCCTATAGTCGCATTGGATTGTGGCAGGACCTGGGAAACTAGTCTGCTTGTGGGGGTGCTGGAGATTGCGCTATTCCACGGCTTTGATTTGCTTATGGAAACCACCTAATTAAATCGTTTCATTCCTATTGCTGGCCCAGATACCGATGCCGGCTCGCTTGCTGCAATGCCAAGCACTTTGCCGTGGTACAGGACTTTGACGGCTCCTTCAAAAGTGCATGTTGCACTCCTTCATGCATCTGTCTTCCCAGTTACAAATCTCAAATGCAAACCATGAGCGTGTTGCATTTCGAGCTGCTTCAGTGCAGCAACAACTTGCCTGTGTCTACTTGACCACCCAGTAAATTGGGGTTGAATACCTTGGCTGGCTTATCTGCCGAATCATGTTTGAAACCAGAGCACTGAGGCTGGCGACTTCAATGTCGGGACTCTTCACACAAGCTGACAAGCGCGCATCCGCCATGTATTTGCCAAGCAGCTTTCGTCTCAGCATAGAACTTGACGTCAGGATAAGTGGCATTCGAATCGAAAGCGCTTGGACCAGCTGCAAAAGCCATTACAAAGTACATTAAAGCGTCAGGAGTCGTAACCTGGGTCAAGCGCACGCACAAACACTGTGAAGCAAGTGTGCTTTTAAGCTGCAACCTGGACACTTCCAGCTTTGTAAGCTCCCATGTTGGATCCTTTGGCCAGAAAACACCTCGGCATCAGCTGGCAGCAAAACAAAAAGGCTGTATGAGACCCCTCAGGGAATCTGAAGGCTACAGGTCTCTGATTCGAGGCTGTAACGCAGGACAACAATCGCAGGCAACATGAGCGACGGTCAATGCGAGTAGGCAACCTATGCAACTGACAACGATGAGCAGGAAGCAGCTGCACGCTCCAACTGCCATGCAAAGGCGTTGCCGTCGGCGAGTGCGACAGCAAAGATCGCATCTTTTCGGCGCCACATCCTGGCAATCCACTTGCCGAAGGGCATTCAGCATGAGGAAGCCGTGCGGGTGCACAAACGCTATAGCCGCACATGTACAAACAGCCGCTGACAGCTTTCGCACGACTTGTTTGATCAAGTATGCTTATCCAGTCCACGCCTTGGCAGCTGGGTCTATTTTGATCACGTCCCCGACTTCAACATCACAGTTATTCAGCGCTATGCCCTGCACCGGGCTGAACCTGATGGAGTGGTTGCAAGGCGTGCAAGACAGAGAGCAGCATAACGCGTGAAAATCCAGCAGCATTCAGGGTGCAAATCTTGCAATGATGCCACAGCAGCAGCTGCATACACTGGCATACACATGACTTGCCGAGTTACTCATCCAATGGAGCTGGCTCCTCAGCCAGCCATGCATCAAAACAGGTGCAACCAGCATATGCAACGCGAGTCATCACAGCAAGCCGTCCTTTGCAGTCTCTGGAATGCTCCTGTGACCAAACATGTTTCGAGCCAAACTAGCTCTAGGCTTGTCGAGGCTGACCAGCTCATTCACACTGGGAGAAAGACAAAACAGTCGAATCTCACTTGAATTCGAAGAAGGAAACTATAGGATCAATAGGAAGGCGATAGAAAACCAGGCTCAGAAGTAGCAACTGAATAGAACATGACTAATGGTCGGGGCAATTCCAGAAATCGAGAATATTAGAACAGAAAGAAGGCACAAATTAGGAAACCATCTGAACCTAAAAACGACAGAAAACGATACATATATAAAAAGGGAACAAAGATGAACAGGGAAAAAGGGGAATATTAAAACGTTGAACAGAAAAATATGGTGAAAGTAAAAGAAACACAGCGGGAATAGAGGATAGAAGATAAACGACAGACAAATATGGACCATGGAGAAAACATAGCAAAACAAAGAACGAAGAGAAAAACCTTCAAAGGATAGTAAAAAGGAGGAACATAGAAGACTATGGCTGATGAGGCAAGAGTATGGAGAGATCAGTGTTTCTCACATGTTGTTTTGCCTAATGTTCATCCTTGCTGTCTTTGAATTGCTTCTTGATTCTCATCGCGTTCCGATGTATTTCCTCTTTACCTTTTGCATCCAGGACTCTTGAGTCTGCCGGGCTTGCAGACTAGCTCAATTCGTGAAACCTGGTCCGCAAGTTCTCCAAACTTTCCACAGGCCCCTTTGGCCCATTTTGCAATGTGTTCATGAAGTACCGGATCTCTGACATGTCCTAGTACTAGCTTAAAACCTCGACCTAAGTCTAGGTGCTGCTACACTTGTCAGCATGGCCTATACTTTCTTCATTGAAGCCCGTCCTCTCCATCTTTGTGGACATCTAATGCTGGGCGACCAGCACACCTAGACCGCAAGAGCCTCTTCTCGAGCCATGGCCAGAAAACCCTGGGCTAAGCAGGCAGGCATCTGCACAACAAATGCGAAAAGTATCATCACGTGCGATGCACATGCAAGCTCCTTGCGCCTCCTTTTGAGCAGCACAAGATACAGGCGCGGTCTCTGCATAATTGCATGACATAGCACGAAAGCTGTGCTTCGTCGGACATCCACAGTAAGCCAAAGCCCTGGAGATCCATCTGATTGTTTGATTGCTGTGATTCTTGCTGTACTCTTGGATCCTTGGTGACAGGCTCACAAGAACCTTCCAGCTGCGAAGCGGCGCTTTCGCTTGGCGACGGCGCATTGAAGGCCACAATCTCTCTTGTAAAATTGACTAGTGCCCCGCGCGCTAATGTGATCTTTGTTGACCCGGGCATGTTCATTCCATTTGCACCTGTACATCATCAGGAGCAGCCATAATGTGCTCGAAGAGGAGCTGAAGCTCTCTAGTCTGAACAGCCTTGCAAAACTCCATGGTAGCTGGGTCCTCTGTCCTTGCAAGAAGAAAGACACGCATAAAGCAAGCAGTGTTTACAATGAATTCTTCGTGGACACCAGTTGCTTCCCGTACACTTCTTTCAACCCTATTTCCTTCAAACAAAGCCCGATGAAAATCAGTTGGTTTTACGGGTTCTGGGGTTGAGTTTATGGGGTTGGAGGACTGCCAAGTTTTATGTTTTGTGGTCCAAGGGCGTCAGCCTTTCATGCTTGGTGTTTTTTTTTCCCCTGAAAGTGGTGCCAACTGTTTTCCTTAGACCGTGTTATTGAGATGCGAGCCTTTGACAGGGTCCTTACCCAGGGCGCTCATGAAATCCCCAATATCTCCAATAATTGACGGATGGATGGATGGATGGGGTCGACCAGCAGGGATCTGCAGCCTGCGAATACCGTCTCTCTCGCCTTCGCTGGGGAGATTCCGACAATGCCATCTGCAACCGGCAACCCTCCGGCCCGGCCCAGAGTTCACGGCACCATAAACTGGCCACCTCAAGCATAAAGCCATTGCCCGCACAGGCGCCGAGGCTCGCAGGCAACGCGGCAACGGGTCTTTCGACATGACAACAAACAGAAGTGCCAGTGGTGTGCCCACCAATTCTCCATTCAATCCTTGCGCTCTATGGTCGCTGCAGAAGCTTTCACGGAAAGCGCTCGAGAGCTTCAATGGAATTAGAGGCTTGGCAGGACTTCTTACTTGTACACAGTTTCATGAACCTCAGGAGAAATCTTGGGGGAGACTCGGACCTGAAACATCCGCCTGCAACCAGTGGCGATGCAAAGCGCACATTGCACTTACGGCGGTAGGCGCAAATGAAGAACCAATATCAGGCATAACAGGCTTCAAGGAACCAGCGTTGCAGCTGGCACATGGTAGCTACAAAGTGGACGTGTGCCGCAACGGAGCACTGCTGGGGCATTAATGTAAGCGCACGAAACTGTAATAAGCAAGTGTTGATTTGATGGACTCTGTAGAAAGAGTGCGTATGAAGACGTGAGTAAACCCTTCCATGAAAAGGCCTAGTCGACTGTGTAAACACACTGTACATGAAGCATCTTCGATAGTAGCCAAACAAGCTGTACAGGAAGCATCTTCCATGGTAGCCGCCGTAGAAGCTTCTGTAGGCACGTGTTGTTCAATGACTCTTGTTTTGGGACATTCGGAAAAGCTTCATTGAAAGCTCTTCCGAAGTCACTGGGATGGAAGATGTTAACATACGGTATTTCATTACCAATAAACTCATAATTAAAAACGAAAAATCCAAAAGATCAGGAAGAAAATGATAATGGTCATCATTGGCTTTCGCTGTTTACTACCGCTCTCAAGACATCCTGCTGTCCGGTTGATTGAAATTTGCACCTGCATGAAAGATTCTGTCTAATCACAGTTTCTCACGATGTTTGGGGCCACAGGCTGTTACTCCCCGAGAGGCAACCTGCTCCATGCGTCTAGGCATGCAAGATTGAGGACGTGCTCCTGTGAGAGGGTGCTGCATGCGCGCAAGTTGGCCACGCGCAACTGCAATGCCGTCCCAGTGATTGCTTGCTGCACACGCGTTGGCAGAATGCCCCGGAACCGGCGCGGCAACTGGACATTGCAGCCCACTATGCAGGGCTGTGGACCAGTCCCGCACCAGACCTAGCCGCAGCTCCAGGGCTAGTGGGTCCGGCCAACGCAAGGGCCATGCAATTCTCCGACTCGAAGTGCGGCATTTGCTCTCGATCTCTTTGTAATGCAATCGGACTTCGGAGAACTTGGCCACAGCGAGGCAACCTGCCCCAATGCCAAAAGAAAGCAGGCGGATGGGAGTTGGTGTTTCGATGCACCCCACACGCATCTACCCGGCAATATGCCAGACCTCGCAAAGCACCTTGTGTTCACCTGGCTGTGTCAAGCGGAGTCGAGCTGGTAGAGGATCTCAAGAAGCTCCTACATAGTTGCGCATCCCTCGCGAAGCAAGGCTGAGCCTTGCCCTTCATCTGCGCCCCACGGACGTGGGGCCGAAAACTCTGCGTGTGCAGGTGTCGGGCCCCCCCACCCAGCATTTTTCCTCAGCCATTCCGGAGGCCACTGGAGATGCCTCGTCCGAATCGGAGACAAGGTCTTAGGGCAAGTTCCGCGATTTTGCTCTGAAACGTTTCCTAGAGACTTTAGCTAGAATGCCTTTGGCCTAACAAAATGTCAGCGTGATACTCTTGGCGCTTCATGAATACCACGCTTGTTGTCACGTCTCTTGTTGTTTTCACGAAGACGGCCATATGCACACTGAGGGCTCAACCTAGTGGCGCAATTGCGGCCATCACGGATGGCCATAGCTACTCAGGCATGATTTCATGGGCTATAGATCTGATCCTGGCACGCCGTCACCGGGAACCATGACCGTGCCAAGATTCGTTTGCTGGTCTGAAGGTCTTGGAATTTCTGGCGCAAGGGGCCCAGCATTTACAAAACACCCAGAAGCTTTTATAGGGTCCACAGTCTTGGCAGCGCAGGTGTTGCGCAAGCCCGTGTGATCCTAGCTCTCTCAATGGCACGTTGGAAGCCGAGCAGCAGAAGCACATCCTCACACAGTTTGTTGAAGAGGGATGGCTCCCACTTTGGTCCCATGGTCCGAAGCAGGCAGCGGGAATCGTGGCCTGGTCACAGACTGGCCGGGTCAAATTCCCCCCTCAACGGATTCCAGATAATCTTTTGCGTAAGGTCCGCACACTCACCAACGAAGCCTTCTGCATCTTCTCGAAGTTGGGGGAAGATGGGGTGCTGGCTCGCACCGAGGGAGAACGCTTGACCCATCCAGTACTTGCCTCACATTGATGGCAGAGAGGCAGGACCAAACAAGATCTGAATATGCTGCGCGCCACATGATACTACCAAAGACAGCCCGTAAGCGAGTCCAAGCTTCTGTTGTTGAACCTCAGCACACGGAAGCCAGGCAACACCAAAACTGCAATTCTGCTGCACGAGTGGTACATGCTGCAGGGCCGCCCAGATCCAAACTCGCCCAAGTTTTCACCTGGAACAGGCTTGTCTTAAACAGGCTTGTCTTAAACCGAGAACATCATACCCTGCACGAATTGAATGGTCTTCCGGAGCACCCAAGAACGCTCACAGATTTCAGTCGGATTAGATTTCTTGGTGGCTTCCTAGCAGAAAAGAAATCTGGTCTTTGTTCTTTACAAGCAGCCCGTCATTCTAGACCAACACACAAAGTCATGATGACTTTGGCTGGTGTCCACAATGAAACCCTTCCTTTTCACTTGTTCACTGGATGGTCTCTCCTAGGACCCTATGAGTTTGCTTGTTTCTTGGGGCGTCCAAGCTCAAAGACGAGCAAAGTTGTCAGCGTCCGATTACCGAGTATCTCTGATAATCGTGGCTTTGGACAGCAGATCCATCTTTTCCTGTGAATTTTCGTGGGGCATGGCCACTGTACATGCGTGCGTTTACACATTACGGTATTAACAATGATGTCTTGACACAATGATCATCGTAATGCAACATCACACTGTCCTGTGCCATCACTGAAAGCAACGATCAGAATGGAATGAATACCAAGGACAAATCAAACGTCAACAGCAGCAGCAACGTTGGCGACGGCAGCAGCCTAGATGGCAGACACAACATGACGACAGTGACAAGATCGCACAGCAATATGACTGCTTGAACAAATTCATCAAGGCAACAGTGAAAATGCTTGCCAAAAACGTGGCAATGGAAGGAGGCTGACAGGCCTCAAGGTATCGGAACAGCATCTTGAAACTTACGTTCTCCACATGGTCCGACAAGCGCAATCACTTGCAACTAACAGACCCAACTAGTTCAAGCCAGGACCAGCCTCACAACTCGGAAAATAGTGAGCTACTAAATTACCGGGGAAGAAACCGCAGCGAAAAAGATAAATGCCAAGACATGCCAAAACACCGGGAATCCGTTCCACACATTGCTGTACACCAGCCGAGGAGAACAACAACTGTTTTCCACGCTCATGCATTCCTCCACTGCCTTGTTTATTGTCTGCTTTTTCCTTCCCTTTTATCTTGCTTTTGTTTCGCTTTTCCTTTTTGTTGTTGTTTCCTGATTCCTGCCCTAACCTTTCTCAAGCGTCACAAAAATCATTCATGGCGTACTTGAGAAAAGCCACGACAGCTAGGCGTTAAAAACTGTGCGAAATTATCCTGGGAAGGTTCTCCGATGCCAAATCAGATCAAATTTCTGAGGATATTTTTGCTTTCTTCGGACTGAAAGCTAGGTTCCTTGCTCATAAATTCATAAAATTCTAGGTTCAAAAAACCTTGCCGATTCTCGAGTATTGGAAAAATGTGTTCATTGTTTTTGTGTATGTTTCTTTTCGGGTGGGGGGGGGGTGGTCTCGGGCATTCTGTAGACCAAACTGTGAGGACGCTCCACGCGAGAGCTCAATTTTGAGTCGGAATCTGAAGATACCCTACGCAGGAACTCATTTCGGGGTGTCAAAATGTGAGAAACCACTTAAGAGCTCCAAGAGAGTTGTATTTTGAGCCCAACTTGAGGACGGTCCACGCGGAAGCTCGAATTAGCGTCAGATTTAAGCTCAAGATGTGAAGAAGCTCCACACCAGAGAGCTCAATCTGTTAGGATGCTCCTGCGAGACCCCCCGCTATTTTTAAGCAGAAACTCCGGGAAGCTGGAGCTGGACACGGCGGCAGCGTGCGCAAGAAGGTGGCTAAGGTGTGTCTGAAGGATGGCAACGAACACTGGCAACAGACCTGTTCGCGCAGAACAACTGCAGCAGCACCCCTTGTGAAAAAAATCCCCAATAGTAAGAAACATGCCTATAGGAGAGGTCCCCTTAAATGCCCCATATTTCCACAAATCCCAAGTAGGAAGCATGTCGATAGGACAAGTAACGTTGAAATGCCCCTTATGCAAACACTCGCAAATAAAAAGAAACATGTCTATACGAGGGGTGCCTTTAAGTGCCCCCTATCCTAAGCGGAGAGAAACATGGCAAAGGCCCCTTGAAATGACCCGTACGTGAAGAATACCAAATAGTAAGAAACATGTCTATAGAAGAGGCCCCTTAAGTGCACGCTATTGCCAAAAATGGCAAAGGCCCCTTTGAATGCCCCTTACGTAAAACTGCCAAACAATAAGAAACATGTCTACAGGGTGAGTTCCCTTTAGGGCCTCCTTATTTCCAAGACCCGCATGGGAAGAAACACGGTACAGGTCCTTTTAAATAGCCTGGTCCCTTGTTTAGGTAGTCCTGGCCTAGGCTTTGCTGTTATTTCTTTCGCCTTCCCTCACCCGAGGACTAACTCCCAAAGAGATGTTCATGATGCCACTTCTGCGTCATTACCGGGGCGTACCCTGGACTAATGGGGCGACTATAAGATTAAAACAGAACTCCTCACCCACCCGACACACCTTGCCAACGCCAAGTAATTCTTCAGGAAAAACAAGTCCCCCTCAAAAAATTCAATGGTAAGTGCGAAACCACACATAAATCATCCTCAAGTAGAAAAGACCCACGGTCGGATACGCACCGTTCCCCTAGTAGTAATAGTAGTAGTAGTAGTAGTAGTAATAATAGTAATAGCAGTAGTAGTGGTAGTAGTAGTAGTAATAATAGTAGTAGTAGCAAAAATAGTAGTAGTAGTAATAGTAGTAATAGCAGTAGTAGTAGTAGTAGTAGTCGGCGCC